AAGCTTTATTAAATACTATATACTTATTTTCTACTTAAGTGCGATTTCATACCGGAAATGTTTCTGAAAGATTTATTGTAAATCGTTTTGAAATTTCGACAGCGTGTCATCAAAATATAGTTTATGCGTAGTAAGTGAAACTTTTTTAATGAACAAGCTATACAAAATTATACTCTAATGACCTACATTACTTATCAGGACGAATTAACTTAACTTAGGGTTAAAGAGTCAACAGTACTTTTAGACTTTTCATAAATATAGGTAAATGTAGATTTTGTAATAAGCTGTTAGTTACTTTTTGGGCTCGAATAATCGATTACAACAAGTTGGCACGCCTCCCGAATGAAAAAGAACGAAATCTTGCACATTAATGTATTAATATCCCGCTTAAAAGACTTAATTTAACGCAAATTTAATTTTTATTCAGCATCCCTATCATCTTTGTTATTATATAATCTCAGGATTTTTCAATTTATAAAGTTCTTGGAAACTTAATTTGTAGGTGAGACTGGGATCGCTATGATTTATTAATGAAATAAAAACTGAGTTACCTGCATACAAGGCGTCTATATAAAAGTTTGTGAAACAAAAAGCTACTTTATAAACAAAAAGAAACTCATTTTAATTTTGGTCCTTTTATCCGCCTGTATCTGTATTAATAAATTATTTAAACGGAATTTGTTACGTAAATGTATATTGATTTTTTATATGTATGCTTAAGTTTGCACCCAGCATTATTATTATAAGAACTGTCAGCCAGGATAAACAACGTATTTCCCTATAACCTAATCAATTATTGGAAAAATATTGTGATTCGAGGTAAAATATTAAGCACAAATGTACCTAATTTAAATTGTTAAAACAATACTCTTCTTCATTAGTGGTATTTATTGAATATTATGTCATCTTTTTCGATTTACCTAATAATGTTTTTTTGCTATACAGGCCAAACCTGTACCGAGGACCATATCTACATTTGTTGCGCCACAAAAGACCAACTTTTGTTTCTTGTGCACATTCATCATAGGAAGTAATTTAGCACGATTATTAGACACGTATCTGCTTTAATTCCACAAAGGTCGCCCCAATGTCGGCCATTTCATAATTCGGTTTTGCCTTCTAGTAATATACCTACTCATTTGGGACTAAACATTTAAATTTAAACTAACTATTGTTATAAACTCAATCGATTTGGATCGACGACGACGTGTCAATGTTATATTAGTTTTCGGAAGTAATTTGATATTTTTATTCATAGATATAGATAGGTGTTAACAAAATGGACGGAGCAGCTTCTGAATACTGCAATATATTTTATGACAAATATCACACACACACACAGTGCCGGGAACATTTGCGGCCAGTCATTTATTATCCCTCTATAACACTCCAGTACGTTTTCTTTACGCTTCAAGTAAATAACACGGGGTATGTAAATGACCAGGGGCCAGTAGTCAGCTTTCCTTTCCCCCAGCGAGGCATTCTAACGCGTTGCCAGTGAGAGCCGGCGGCGAGGAGAGCTCATCATCGGTGATTATCTTTAGGGGACCTTAATTACAAGCTCCGAGCCTAATGTGGAAACTTTGTACGATATTTTAAACATTTCATTGATCATTAAAGTTTTTACTTCCAAATAACCTCCCTCTTCGATGGCAATAAAAGCAGAGTGCATGGTTACTGTACAAAAATGTAAACTACATGCAACATCTGCCACGACATGTGCTTTGCAAACTTTCTGAAGTTTTATTGTAGCAGACAACAGTCAATATGTTATTTTAAAACATCGGGACGCAAGCGCATTGTTTCCACACGACTTGGAAGTGTTCTTAGGAATCATCAACGGCAGCTGTTCGGCGATGAGTTACGACCGAGGGCCACGGGTGGAGGCGCAACTTGTAGAGAAAGTACGCTTTTACGTTACACACGTGCTTGGCGCGCCGGCCGTTTACTTGTAAGCTATACCGGGTCGGTTTCGTAGCAATATTCTAGCAATACACGTAGTAACCACACTTGGTCGACCCTCGTAACTTCGACTTGACGTGGCTTATCAACCATCGTCTGAACACGGTCACTGTTAATTAAATAACTACTACAGACACGAGATGGGATCTCGCAGCGTCATCTTCGATTCAACCCTGACATAGAATGGAGACGTCAAGCACGGGTAGCGTCCGCGTTATCTGCTCAGCTATCACACTTGTGTGTATACAATGAGCGGTGCCCGAGCGAGACACTCCTCGCACACCTGTCCGCCGGCCGCGGTACGTGACCGGCGCGCGCGCAGCCTGGGGCGCGTGCGCCGCCCCACCTCCGGGGGAATGCCTCCGATACTCATTAACTTTCGGGGATTTGTGGCATTCGATGATATATGTCGACGACGCCGGATGCTCATGTAATGACTGGTCCATCTTGCCATCACGATAACCACTAAGTTACATTCCCTTTGTTGACTCTTAACAAAAATGCGATGCTAATCCGGTCTCGCATAGCGTGCCGGAAACAATTTTCTCACCGATCTTATAACAAACCGTACAATTTACACGTACACTCATCTAACAGATAATATTATGTGTATCGTTGCGGGTAATTTTAGGTCATTCCCATCAAAACAGCGTCGCGGCCGGTCGGGAGACGGCCTTGCTGAATGTAACAAGCAGTGAGCTACTTCAGGTATGAGGTAGGTACCTCAATGTTTCTTCAATTACTGCAGCCATTGTCACAACATTCGATCCAACAAACAATGCTCCAGCCGATGAATAGAAAATATTGAGCACGTGTCTGACATAATACGGTTCTCGCACGATCTTTTTAATAGGTCATATTAAACATTAGTCGAAGGTTCCTCTGTAAAAGGGCTCAAAACGATAGATTCATATGGTCGACTTGCACGTGATTTTAAACTAACCACGTTTCGGCGAAGTCGTTGTTTCAACATTGACTTACATCGAATATTGTCCAGAATTGTTATGTCTACCAATTTTGTTTGGCGCCCAGCCTAGCATTAAAAATATCGATTACACTTGTAATGTTCTAAGCACACATAGCTTTATCTAATGATCTAGGCAGGCGCTGGGAGGTGTGCGTGCGCACGGCGTGTCTTCACGTATAACTCTCGGGGCCCAAATGAAATTATTATACTAATTACCGAATCTCGATCACGAGCGGGGGGCGTTGCGGTTCTAAATCTCCCGCTCTCCTAAATCGATTACGGGTATTACGGGCCTAGAGCCGGCCGTTTTGTCTCTGTCTTATGTGGGCCGGCCTTGCTCTCGTCTTTTTGGTCATAATCTATCACGGTTCATTGCTCCGCGTGGCCAGTTTGGCCGACCACTGCGAGAGTACGGACTGTGGAGATAGCCTGTAGATGCTGTTATCTCGTTTGTTTGATGAAGTTTTTAATAAAGGATGTTTTTGAAAATTGTTTTAGAAGACAGTCGTGTCCATAGCCTCCCACATTAGCGTCAGGTGTTGGTCGGCCGCGTTATGGACGAGCCTCGGTTTCACACCGCTCGCCTTTATTATTACGCGTTTAATAGTCCACGCTCTGGTAAATATCTAAGGTATCACTTTCACGTGTTGAGCCTACGTTAAATTGAATCTACGAGACTGGAAGTGATTATACAAATAGGATACAAATTCGTTTACCATTTTCATTACACAGGACATGGTTTTAAGTTGAATGCAGTGCTGATGGTTTTATCTTTTTGCGTGCAACAAGGTTGACAATGTGGACAAATGTACCTACTCATCAAATTGTTATGTTCGACCTTTGTGGAGATTTCATGTGCGATAAACTTACTGTATGCATTTATTATTAACATGACACATACGGCTGTCTACTGTTTAAACATAGTTTTACAATATTACGAAATATAACTAAACACTGTTTCTTTACTTGTTTCTTACAATTTTCTCAATTTTAGAAAGATCTTTCCGTCGGTTTACGTATATGAACCTACAAAAGAAAATCGGAAAAATCTATCAGATGTCATTACATGGTTTCTGCCAATCAAACATTGAATAATTATCCAAATACATTTCAATTATTCCTAAAACCTTGAACACGACCTACATTGAGTTTTAGAAATATAAATCTGCAACTAAATTTGTTTCCTCATGTGTTAATAAAGGAAATTGTTCAAATTAAAGTTTCGCAAATTGTTATAACTAGGTACGTTATTTAAATTAATAATTTTACGTTATTTATCTCTGTGCATGATCTAAACAAAGTTTCGTTGTTGGGAAAATTGTTTCTGTAATTACACCAACGATTATTTATATAGGTAGTTACATTATACATATTATTTTAATAAAATGACGTTTTTACATACTTAGTTGTAGGAATAAAATTCTTGTAGGTGATTTTATGAGACATTTACGTTACATCTATAGGGCTTTGAAAAATGGAGTTTCTTACTCGTTCTTCTCCAGAATCTACAGTTTGGAACGAGCACCCAGCTTCACTGACGAACTGACTGACAAATTTATTATATTTTGTGTTTTATGTTTTAGTTGAAAATTTATTTCAACTAATTTTGACTTAGACTTTAAACGTTATTAGTATATATAATATACCACAATAATTTCTACTAAGATAAATCCTTCTTCTACTAAGATAATTACCCCAAGAATTTACTATAGATTCCGAATTACGACCCTTTAGCGAAAGAGGAATTTGCGGCATGCCACTGCGACATACTACGTTGACAGGGTTTATACAGGGATAATATACCTAATACATCTATGAATTTATGTATTTCTATATTACAAAGCTACAATAAAGCAAAATAAAAATCATCAACGCACTCACAAAATAAATACTTCTTATTTTAAAACTTTTTTATTGTGAACACTTAACACGACAGTAGCGCCACTACGACAGTTTTTCGAACTGTATAATTATTTCTAGTTTAGGTGTGACACAGATCGAAACTTTAGGCTTCATATGAGAGTTCTGTGACTTACAATGTGTGCTAAGTAATATTTTGTGTCTTCTACAGCCTGTTCGAGCAGGAGATCATGAGCTATGTGCCGGCGGGCGGGTGCTCCATAGCTGCGGCGTCCGCGGGCGCTTCGCCCTCGCCGGCCGCGTCACCAGCTGCCGCCCGCAGCACCAGGGCGCCCGCGCCGCAAAGACGAGACTTCGAGGCCAAGCTCCGAGCCTTTTACAGGAAACTAGAGAGCAAAGGCTACGGACAAGGACCTGGCAAATTAAAGTGAGTTGTTTTATTGGTAAAATACTAGTTTGGAACTTGAATAGATGGTCTAAGTTCGAAGTACCTGTATTATTACTATTTTTATGGCCTAACTTGGCAAACGAGCTCCGGTAAGCAATCGGAGCCGCCCATGGACACCCGCAACACCAAAGAAGTTACGAGTGCGTTGCCGTTCTTTTGAATAAAAAGGTTGCGGATATTTAAGGATCGATATTTTTGTAGTCACTGCACACAAATTTCCTAAATGTATCAACCAACTCACTTAATCATCATAAAACACACAAGAAGGCTGAACATAGACCTTCTCTAACTCAGTCAGTATAACTATTTAATGATATTAGTGCATGGAAAGCATCTCATGAAACCTATCACTATCTACACTACTTATAACTGCAACGATCCTTCTTTCAGACTCCACATTCGTCGCGAACATCTTCTAGAAGATGCCTTCAGAAGAATAATGTCTTGTGGAAAGAAAGAACTGCAGAAGGGCAAGCTCTGCGTGCTGTGGGATGGAGAAGAAGGACTGGACTATGGAGGACCTAGCAGAGAGTTCTTCTTCCTTCTATCGAGGGAACTCTTCAACCCTTATTATGGACTCTTCGAGTACTCGGCCAACGATACGTACACGGTTCACGTGTCACCAATGTCAGCGTTTGTCGACAACCATCATGAATGGTGAGTGAAAGATTGGTCTTTCAAAGGAATATCTTTAAGGTTTTATTAGAAGAATCGGGTCTTCTCACAGATCTTATTAGGTATTACCTACGTTATGTACCTTCGTCATTATTTACAACCCTATGGCCACACCGGTGTTTCAATTTTTGGGACGGGACCACTTGACTTCGAAAAAACAACACATCACAGACATACACGGACAAACCTGGTGGTGTTCTTCAAACAATTATCCCAAAGAACTATGTGTTTCTTCTACCAGCATAACATTATACAAATATATATATAAAACAAAGACAAAGCTTTGAAACTTCATAAAGTTAATTAACATATATTATATACAAGTACAACTTCTCAAACATTAAAAATATAATACCTATCCCATGACACGCTTTTGTTTTCCATTCTACCTGTCATAGAAATTCAAATGTAGGTACGTAATATATTAATATTAACACAATAGCTATCTCGAGATCTGGGAACGCACATAACTAACGCTTTTTTCGTGAATAAACAATCAAGGCACCCAAGTCTACCAACTACTAAAAATTTACTTAACATATTCTTTGTGAAAACATTAATCATTATAGTATTATAAGCTCCAAAGAAATCAACGGACATTTTTCAAAACCCCAAAGTATATTACGTTTTCTACAGTGTTGTTATTGAATTAATATTAAACTATTACTTATACTAAAGGATTTGTTACACACAATAAAGAAATGACATGACTTGAATGAGCAGACTTACGTCTGGATTCGAACACACCAATTTTACAGCAATATTTAGATGTTAATTTTTAGACATATTCCCAAATCCCTAAGCCTAAAAAGACGGCAACGCCCTTGTAACTTCTCTGGTAATAGCTTACCTTAGAGACAGTCCGCTTGCTTACCCATATAAAAAGATACTATTTCTCAAACCTTCTCTTGTAGCGGTCTTATAAAGGCCAAAAAAATATAGTGTTTTTTATGAAATGTTAATTACTATAACAATTCTCAACATCCCAATTTATTGTAGTTGCAAATTTTCCCTTACCTAAATAAAATGGTTTGCATACAAAGAATTCAAATTACGTACATACGGTTGTTAACAAAAGCTTCCTGGTTATAGCGACCGGTGATTAGTCTATCATTATTTATTAACATAAATAAATATTTTATATTTTCCATTTTCTTGTAAAACATTAGAATATGAACGTAATTAGGTCTGTGTGGCAGTGATATGTAAATTGGACATGATTAGTACAACTAAAGTACTTATGTGTTAGCCAGAAGGCCACATGCACATAGACTAGGTACCTATTTTTTAAATGTCACGATCAGTAATCACACTTTTGTAAGTGGTGATAGGAAAGTCATTTAATAATAATTTTAAAACAAAAACCATTGTTTTGACTCAGCTTTTATTTAAAATGCGCTCAAAATTATGGCATTGGTTTTTTTTTTGCAAAATAACAACTTACGAGAAAAGCTCTACTAGTTTCAATCCACAACGGGAACCTTGTGACTTGAAACTATAAGAGCTATTCTCAATTCTATAAAATGTCTAGTTAATTAATAATGTATTCAATAAAATTGTTGTACGCCATTTATCACGGTATTTACATAGATAATATCCATACCTCTATTTCGCGAATAACAACAAAACAATTTTATGATGTAAGCATAATTTAATTTGCTTTATCTAAACTTTATATTATAAAATCTATTTCATTTTTAAATATTTTTAGATCTCATTGAAAGATATTCATCACACACAAACGACGTCATAATAAATAAAAAAGTAAGATAATAAAATTATAATTAAATATCCTTCCTCATAATAATTTGCGCTGTTTGCGTACTTTGAATAATAAAATCATTTTGTGGAAAATAAGAACCTATGTAAGTAAATTACAATTGTTTGAATAAATATTATTACTGTATAAAATTTTACCTAATCACTTTTTTATGGAAAATGTGATGAAAACTTAAAATAGTTAATGGTTTTATTTATTATATTGTTTTATAAAAATACTCATAATATTGCAATAAGTAGCTATTAAGAAAAAAAATTAATAAAATTTTGTACCTATAGGTATTTACGCACTAAAGCTTCAAAATGCTAATACGAAGTAAATTTCTTGAGGGACTTATGTCATGAGGACCTATAGGTATTCAAAAATGGAGTTTCTTTTTTAACCATACTGTGCAGAGAGATATACAAGTCTTAGTTTAACAATATTTGCCCTAGTTATCTGCTTACGACAATCTTCCTGTAAGTAACATATACATTGCATCCCTTCAACAACACACAACAGATATTTCCGTTAATATGATTTATTTTTACATCGCTCCGAGCGCCCTCTATGTTTATTTTTACTCAACGTTTCGGCGCAAGCGCACCCGAACCGTCCGCGTCTCATATTACAACAAACATCGTGTATTTGGTTACAAACAAACAGATATACAATCACTTTAGAAGTTTTTGTGCATTAAACTATTTTAATAATATCATGTTACAGTTTAACTGATGTGTAACGTTTTCCACGCACCGTTGATTGGGTTCTGGTTGGTCATGCGAACTTAGAAAACTTCCTACACGAATCAAATGTATTAAATATTTAGGTCACGTTAATTTTAAACTTGGTTTGGACACGGATCTCGAATCAATAAATAAGCACTAAGCACCGTTTAGTTTTAAATTAAGAATGATTTATGTAACTACTTAGTGTTAATTTCGGGATTTTAACAGGATGAATAAACAAAAAAATTGGATCTAGGTAGGCGACTATCGATATCTAAGTTTAGTAATAGTTGTGAGTAGACGCTGCCTAGGACCTATAGAAGTAGATCAAGAAGTTTTTAGTTTAGGAGAGCCTTCGAAGTGCCAGCAACACACTTGCAACTCCACTGGTGTTGCGAGTGTCCATGGGCGTCGCCGATTAGGTACTCACAATCAGTAATTACACGGCTCTTTGGCCGCCATATCACTCAAATTAGTTCATACTTCGATGGTAGACTTTCTTAGACCTGACTTAAAACCTGTACATGTTCATAATGTTCTTGTATCTACATTTATTATAATGTGTTTTATTTGTTACTAGGTTTCGTTTCTCGGGCCGCGTGCTAGGCCTGGCCTTGGTTCACGGCTATCTACTGGAGGCGTGGTTCACTCGAGCGCTGTACCGAGCGCTGCTGCGTCTCCCGCCCGCGCTAGAAGATGTAGACGCCCTCGACGCACAGTTCGCTGCCTCATTGCGCTGGTTACAGGTTAGAGCAGATGTATTATTTATCTACTGACACATAGTATCACTAGTATCTAACTGCTTAAGTTTTCCAAAGGTTTTTACATGATGAAAGGTAACCAATACGCCTTCCGCCTTATAGCATTCCGAATATTTAACTGCCCCTTGAGGCCAGGTAAGTATCGAGAATACACGGGATGTGCATAGCTACTGAGTAACGTATGCTATTGACTAGGATCCTATTTATACTACTTCAGTAGACAACTTAGAATGATGATGATGTTACCTACAACAAATACATTAACATTACAGTCAGCGCGATGCGTGTCGTCCCTGGAGCTAACGTTTGCGGTGTCGGAGCGTCTGGCGGACGGGCGCGTGTTGGAGCGCGAGCTGAAGCCGGGCGGGCGCGAGCTCGCCGTCACGGAGCGCAACAAGAAGGAGTACCTCGAGCGTGTCGTGCGCTGGCGCGTCGAGCGCGGCGTCGCTGAGCAGACCGAGTGGCTCGTCCGTGGCTTCCACGAGGTTAGCTTACTTACAATACCGGCACTACACCCATAAACTGCCTCTGTTAGGTCAGGTTTAGTTGCCGAAAGAAAACTGTTGGCAAACCTACCGCTAACCGCCAATGTCAATGTTGATCACCTCCACGTATTAGAAGCCAATAAACAAACTGTTTATGTTAAGACTAGACCTAACGTCCACATTTTGCTTACCTAACGTAGTTATATTGTAGGTCTTATGATATTTGGCGGTCCAGACACAAATTTGACTCAGTACTTTTTACCTACTGTGATTGTGAATTAAATAAAACTAAAAACAGGTACTTTTCCAACGCCGAGAGTCTAATCTTTCGGATTATATACAAAGATAACAAAGATTTCAGTGCAGCCAAGTCAAAGTTTAAAAGAGTAAGCTCTTTTTCTTTACCTATATCAAAATATTAAACGGCAAGTGTCGCCATCTATCGAACACAACCTAAATCTCTATTATTTACCACTCTAGATTATTAGTCTAATTCCGCGTGTATAAGTTAAATATAATTCAACAATAAATATATACTTATCACTAAATTTGGTGAACGTAAGGATAGGTGGTGACTGGTGTTGGCACACTGCTGTGCAGTTTCTGCCTCCACAAACACATCTTTACATAATTGTGTTAATTTTAAAATAAAAAATGTTCGTATCATTGCCAGGTTGTGGATCCCCGGTTAGTGGCAGCGTTTGATGCGCGGGAACTGGAACTGGTGATCGCGGGCGCACCCGAGCTGGACGTGGCGGACTGGAGGAATAACACCGAATACCGAGGAGGGTACCACGACGCACATCCTGTCATTATCTGGTTCTGGCAGGCCATTGATAGGTAATTATTTCATCCTTACCTACAGTCTATTAGAGTATTTCAATTTATTTACCCGAAATCAACTTAGGTACACCAATAAATTGACCAATCAATCGACTACTACCACTATTAAAATATTTTGTTACCCAAAAATGTGTATTAGTAGTGTAGGTAGCGTAGTGCGGTGAAACACTTCCCTACTGCGCTTATCAATTAGATAACAGCGACCTTTGAATTATGTATATTTATTGCTGCGAAAACTCACCTTTGTCCTAAGAAGTAACATTGTTAGGGTTTTGTAGTTATGTATACTTACATCAGTTTGTTATATTTACTGGTTACTATAATAAAGCAATCCATTGTGCGACAGGTTCACGAACGAGCAACGACTGCGATTGGTACAGTTCGTGACGGGCACGTCGTCCATCCCGTACGAGGGCTTTTCAGCACTGCGCGGCTCCACCGGGCCGCGCCGCTTCTGCATCGAGCGCTGGGGCCGCGTGGAGTCGCTGCCCCGCGCGCACACGTGCTTCAACCGGCTCGACCTGCCGCCCTACCCGACGCCGCATCTGCTGCACGAGAAACTGCTACTGGCCGTCGAGGAAACCAACACCTTCGGCATCGAGTGAAGCTTGCGCCGCGCCCTCGTGGACTCTAAAACGCTTTTCGTACTGTACATCTATGACGATGTAGTACGTTGAACCTAAATAAAGCTCAAGTAGCGAATGCTTCATATTACTCTGAATACTAGGACTCGCTCCCACGAGTTATCACGGCCGTTGCCGTTATTGTGGTAAAAAATCTTATCTGGCCTGGTACGATATTCGTGATAAAGCACCACATGACCTCGTGTTTTCCCCGCATAGTAAAGTTGTTATAAATATTTAAAGTTTAGTTAACTTAAGTAATTGTAACTAAGTAAGTCAACTATACCCCATCCTTACAATAAACACATTTATTAACATCAACAATGACCGTCAAGAAGTGTGTTTAACAACAGAGATTGAGAGTAGTACTATATTACTGAAGTATTAAGAAAATCTATATTAGCAGCTGTAAATAATTGTGACTAATTACAAGTATTGTTGTCAATGTAAATAATAGTCAATTTATAGTATAACAGACAAACAAAGATAGAAATATTTTAGCAGTTTAATAAAGTAACATGTGTAGACGTGCCTAGGTATTTATTATTATTATTGGAAGTGGCCACGTGACTACGGGGTTTGTACTTTATTATCGCTTTTGTTATAAGTGAACGTATATTGTGGCTGTGAAACGGGACTTAAGTCCTGTGTTTAGTAATTACGCTTTTACGTCACTAATTTATGTTATTGTAGTAACCTATATCACCTTTGATAAGAACATTAATTTTAAATTATTGTGAACACAGAAAAATTTTGCATAAATTAAAAAATGAACTAAATAATATTACATAATTAACTGCTAATATGAGTAATTCAAAAGTATGTAATGTTTAAGTTCTTTGTGTCTTTAATTACAAGCAAACACTAGTCAGCTACATTATTATCAATAATTTTGTTTGAACTAAAATATCAAACACTTGTATATTTTGAAAACTATCACTGCTGTGTGAACTGAGCACTCAGTTATATAAGATTTACAATATCACTATAAAAAGCTTCAATTACCTATTTTAAATCATGATTGAACAAATTACATGCAAGTTCAGTAAACAATTTATGTTCCTTTGTTACATTAATTTTGTAATTTGATCAGTTGTATAGTTATAATAAATGGCAATGCTGTGGTTCATAATAAAATAATAGTTGCTTGTCTCAACATGCGGACAACAGTATGTGTCTCAGAATGTAAATATCTTATTTATTGTGCTTATCAACACTTCTGTGTAATTGATGTTTATTTTTGTAAGTAATAATTATATTATGTTGAATATTTAACTCAAAATGTGTATTGTTTTTATTATCTTAAATTTTAAGGATATTGTTTTTGTGTGAAAGTGATAAAATGTGTCAATATACAAGATTACTTCAGTTTTAATGCTTTTATTTTTACCCCCGATCAAGTAACACAAGTGCAAATTCTGCACACATTATTCAATTTAGGACTTCTAGCTTAAAGGCTGGGGGAGGAGTACAGAAAATAGGAAAAGTATTAAGAAAAATATCACACATACAAAATGTTTATTTTTCTGAAGTTGTGTAACAACAAAAATCAACCTTGTTATTTTTAAGACCTTAACTTTTAACATATATCAACTATTTACAGTTCCCAAAGTCTGCATTTTGTCCAACACAAACTCACTTTAAAATGCAACAAGGGTTAATTTGCATGATCTACTCTAAATTGTGACGGAGTTAGTTCATAGCTTGTCACAGTCAGTAAGATTAAAATCCTTATTCCATAAAACTCAGTTAAATCATAAGCTGATGTGATTACAATATCGTAAAAGCTACTGTTATAATAGTTCAGTATGCATATTGTAGCTATGTGAATCCAAAATTAAAAACTCTTAAAAATAATCCTCCCCCTCTACAACATCCTATGTGATTGGCGAGCAAGACTAGTCAACTCCCTAATATAACCTTTATCAATGTATTCCGATTGTCAATAGTAAATTGAAAGGTGGTTTCCGAAGAAATCAACTACATTTTATAATGTAATATAATACACACTTGTGTAAATATTTTGTATATTTACTTCAAAAATAACGGTACATACAATATGTTAATTTGTAACTCTATCGAAAGGGAGAAGAACAAAGGCTCACTGTGAGTCTAGCCAAGAGAGGGAAAATCCTTGCTGTCATCAACTTTTGGTGGTGCGACCTGCGCGCGCAATGGCGGGCGCTCCTCCATAGGCTCGGGCTCGCGTGGCGGGCCTCGGCCTCTTCCGCGCCCGCGTCCACGGCCACGGCCTCCCGTGCCGCCGCGTCGCGCTGTGTCGTTGAACGTGAACTCAATGCCGAGCACACGCTTCTGACGACCCACGCGCTGCGGATAATCGGCCATATCATACTCGTCATCGCTGTCGTCATCCTCACCTCTTTCACCTTCCTTCTTCTTCTCGAGCATCACCAAGTTCTTCCACTGGCTGAGGTCTTCACCTTCACCGGCCTTCCGCAGGTTGTATTGCGGCTGCGTGCGTTGGGCATTTCGGAGTGCCTTGTACTCGTCAAGTGTGAGTTCGCGGGGCTCCTCTTCTGTAGGAGCAGCTGCGCGCTCGGCCTCCGGCTGCTGGCCGTCACCAGCGCCAGCTGCATCGGCCGCCTTCTCCTCAACAACCTCTCCTTCAGAACCGGTTTTGTTGAGCTCGTCAATCTCATCCTTGAGAGTACCCCAGTTGTGAGGGCCGGCGCCCTCGCGCTTGTCCACTGGCTTAACACCGGTCTTGTCAGAGCCGGATCTCCTGTCAAACTCACGCTTGCCTCTATTGTCGTACGGACGCGGCCCGCGCGGTCCGTCACGAGCTTCACGAGGTTCACGAGGCGGTCTGGGCCCGCGGCGTTCGGCTCCATCAGGATTGTCGCTGAAGTTACGTCGCTCATAATTGGGCCTGCGATCACCAAACTCACGCCGAGGTGGCCGTGGAGCTCCATCCTTGTTCTCGACAGCACCGTTCTGCGGCCGATCCTCGCGGCGACGCGGAGGAGGACGCTCGGTGTTGCGTTCATTAGGCCTGGCAGGTCCCTTGGCCTTCTGTTGCTCGCCACTTCTGTTTTCTTGAGACTTTACATTCTGGGTTTCCTTGATACCTTTCCTGGTAGCGGGAGCGCCACCTTTAGGTTTGGTCTCAGGTTTGCCCTTGTTCTCTTTTTCGGCTTCTTTGGTTTTCTTTTTGAGCTCCTTCGCCTGCTCTCGCGCTTTTAACGCATCAAGAGGATCGGACTCATCGTCCAAGAAAAGAGCGTATCTGTTCACAACCCCCACACCGTAGGAATTCTCCATTGTGATCCTCTTGATGATTTAATCACACAATAACTGGATGTTGTTGGATTATTTTCACGCACTTTAGTAAGGCGACATTTTGTCTTATTTTATTGATTTCATTTAATATGGCGGACGTAAGCGAACGCACCTAATACGCCATATGACGAAAAGGAATAGAGAAAAGAACGAAAATGGCCGAACAGTTTTCTTTTTAAATTCTTGTCTATGGTTTGCAATCCTCTATTTTTATACCAGAGACATTAGTTCGATACATAGTTTTTTGATACTATTTAATTTTGATGGTATTTGGTTTGTATAATGATTTAGTATATTTAATTATTTTGTACAAAATAGTAATTTAATGTTTCTTTTACGCTGTTATTAAATAAATACCAATTTCATAATGTCATCATGCAATTTGCCGACACCTGAAATAATTTGGTTAGAAGTTCAAGATTTGGTGAAAATTTATTTTAAATTTTTAGGAATTTGAGGTTGTCTGGAATGTGTATAAAGTGTGTATAAAAGTAATGTATCCCAGGATTTTAACATCAGCGTTTAAAGCGATAGCACTCTTACTCAAATCAAGTATATTTTATATTTTGAGAGCGTTTAGCACTCGGAAACATTGTAGCTATCAATAAGTGAAATAATTTAATATTTCGTACATGCAAACTTAAAGTTTATCTGTTTATAATATTAGTATAGATTTAGTTTTAAGTTGTACTGCGTCTAGTTTCTTTTATATTTGTGGTAACTAAAATTATTTATATAGTAAAATTTGTAAGTATGTATGTTTATAAGTTTGTATCTAGGGGGTAACGTTTGGAACCGCTGTCGGATTGCCAAAATTCTTTCACTGATAGCTACAATGTTCCTGAGTGCTATAGGATATAAAACATCACGCTACGATTAAATGGAGCCGAGCAGCGGGTGGAACCGCGAGTGAGTACGTTAGCTGGTATAAAATAAAAATATGCTCTTGATCATGTGCTTCCTAGCAATGACTACACCATTTTCCCGGTCCATGCGCAAAACGTAATTGTAAAAACTTGTAAATGGCCTTAGTGTTAAAATGGTTTCTTCTAGCTGTAAGTTATCCGAAAATGTAAAAACTAAAGTACCTAACGGTACAATCAATCTAGCTAGCATCGCAGATTACGTTAAGAACCTACTATAAAACCAGTCAGAAACTAGCATATAGGTGTAGAAAGGATTAACGTACTCAATGAGTCGTTTAGTTTACGTGATAAAATATAGGTGAAGAATCTGGTAAAACGAAATCAAAAATTTAGAACACGTCACTAATAAGTAGTTTTATTAAAAAAAAAGTTTGTTTTCAATGAAAAATAGTTTTTTGTGGTGCAATGTGCCAGGACAAAACGCTCCAATAGATGTATTTTTCAGCAAGCGAAGACACCAAAAGCCTCTTATGTATGCGTGTGTACCCATTCTTTTTTTTTACAAGACATTGCGCTTGATCCGCAATTCGGATGTTTGTGCGCAGACTTTTGTGCTCAGCACAGACTTATAAAGAAAAGGCAAGGTTTATATTTCAATATTTTACTTGAAATTTCTACACAATAACAGGTCATATAAGGGCAAATATGAGACTAATCCAAATTTAAACATTTAAAGCTTCATTTCCGACATGGATCTCTCTTTGATCCACCGCCACCACCAGATGCAGATCTTCCCAAACAAGTTTCCATTAGTAATCCGCACACAAGGTACGGATCACAATCGCCACCGGGTCTCCTGTCCTCCATGAAACCCTTATCTTTCTTTTTAATGTGTCTTTGAAGGCGGATAGACGCCTTCCTGTTAGCGATACCCCAAGAAAATTTTTCAAATGGAGCCGTTTCAAATTTTCCCGACAATCTCAGTTTATTAGTGTTAATATCATTTCCATATACCACCATATGTTTCATGTGGTTCTTTTCTAATTTCTTTATGCATTCTTCAATAAAAGCGTAACCACCGGGAGCAGTCCTCATTCGCTTTGTGCTGAAATTATGATGCATACCGATACCGGGGTGCAAGTGGCCAAAAGGCTTTGGGTGGTATGTAACATCAATTCCATAATCCTCTCCGATGCGAGACATTATAAACCGTGTCATCCACAAATCATCTGGAGCTTTGATACCCATTGTTGTGCCTACCTGCCACTCCCAACAAGCATACATAACTTCACCATTTGACCCTTCGTAATCACAGCCGGCAAACAAACACGCTTTACTATGGGCTTCAGACAGATCTCTACCTGCTATATACTTCGCTCCCACACCACAATATGAGTACTGATATTTTACCGCAGGAAAGCCGCCTCCTTTGGGCCATCCAAGGCCCCATCCGTCAATATCCAACATAGTGTACTCCTGCTCCAGCCCGAACCATGGTTCCTCAGCTTTGTGTATTTCACATAATTCATTACAAAAACTTCTGTGATTTGTTGGTGCTGGTTTGCCACCGTCGCCGATAAGAACTTCACATAAAATTATAACGTGGGGATCGGCTCGGAATGGGTCCCTATAGACTGCAGCTGGTCTCAGGGTGGTATCAGAACTATCCGTAGTAGCCTGCCCCGTGGAACTGCCATCAAATGCCCAATTTGGTGCCGCATCTGGGCTGTACGGAACACAATCTAGGATACGATCTTTGCACCTCATATTTATGCCAGAACCATCAATCCAAACGTAGGTAGCCAATATCTTATTACACGGTAAAGGGAGTCGCAAATACCTATCCAATACCTTTCTGTTCATGATATGATTAATATTATGGGATCCTAGGCACCTTTTTGCTAAAATCAAATTATTTTGCCTGGGTTTGCAGATTAATGAAAAACACTTTTTGAGTAAGAATTCCATCTTCTTTCTTAAAATTTTATCAAGCTAACAAAATTACAAAAAAAAATGTTACAAAAAATTTGTTACACAAGCAATTTTCAAACTTTGTTGGTTTTGCTTTTACTGTTAAATTTAAATGATTCTAAATTGTTGGGTAAAATATTGATTTTTGAAGCAGAAAAAAATTTCAAGGTGCCAGTAACTATTCGATTTTTGTAAACCAACCTTATAGCATAACTATGTTAAATACTTTTTGTTAAATCCAATAAAAAATATTCCATTTCGTGAAATTTCTAAGCATGTTTATCTCGTGGTCTTTGCCCGCATGTGTTGTACCACGAATATTTCTGCTTTAAATGCGTCTGAACTGGTACTCGGTTTAATCTTACAACTAAATTCCAAAATTTTAAGTTATTAGAAGGATGTAGTGTACACCAAAATTTTATCTTAGCAGAAAATTATCAAAAGTGCTTAAATTTTCGCTCAAACACATGTTTCTGCTAGAAGAGCGCAAACTCTGTATGGATCACAGTCTCCTGCGGGCCGGCGATCTTCGAGAAAACCCCTTTTTTTAGTCTTCACACTTCTTTGCAACCGGATTGAAGCAGTACGATCGGCAATGGCCCACTTGCAAGCATCAAATGAAGCAGTTTCAAATTTCCCACTTAATCTTTTCTGATTTTCTTTACCGTCTCCGAGACCATAATGTTTCATGTAATCACTGTGCTTAGCACATAACTCTTTACAAACTCTTTCAATTTCCACAATACCTCCTTCATCACGCATTTTTTTAGTGCTAAAGTTATGATGGCAACCAATTCCAGGTTGATTCTTACCCATAGGCTTAGGATGATAACTTATTATTATTCCAAAGTTTTCAGCGATTCGCCCCAACAAGTATCGCCCTAGCCATAAGTCATCCGCAGCTTTGATCCCGACTGTTGTTCCTACTTGGTATTCCCATGACCCCTTCATAACTTCTGCATTAGACCCACCATAATCCATACCTGCATAGATGCATGCTCTAGCGTGACATTCAGCAAGTTCTCTTCCAGCAACGTGTTCACCCATCCCGCAGTAAGAATATTTAGATTTTATTACAGGAAATCCACGTACTTTTGGCCATCCCAAGGGCCATAAATCTACATCAAACATGGTATATTCTTGTTCTATTCCAAACATTGGCTCTTGATCAGATAGTTTGCTCAAAATGTTTGCACAATGAGCTCTGTGGTTTGTAGGAGTCGGCGTGCCGTCACCATAATACGTTTCACACAAAACAATAACGTGTGGACTTTTTCTGATTGGATCTCTATATAAAGCGACTGGCAGTAAGATGGTATCTGAATCTTCCGTTCTTGCCTGTCCAGTTGAACTTCCATCAAATGACCATTTCGGAACCATATTTAAATCACAGGGAACTTTATCTAAAACACGATCTTTACAACGTATATTGATTCCAGTGCCATCAATCCAAACGTATGTGGCCAATATTTTATTTTGAGGTAATTTTAAATTTGTGTAATGAAACAAATACGCATTTAAAGGTCTATTCGTTGTTGTCAAACCTGTAGAGAAATTTTCTTGGCTAAAGTGTCGTATTAGTGGGGACTTAAAAAATGCTTTAGATAAAACTTTCTTTCTATGGAAAAGAACTGTATTCAATAGTTTAAAAGACATTATCAAAAATAAGTTTTAGAAAATTAAATGAACTGAGACTGGAAAATGTATAATTACCAAAGCTATCAAATCAGTTGGCCGTGGTATCTCTGAAATCAATCGAGCAAGCCATGAGACGAAAAATGACGGATAGTAATTAATTCTAACAAAACTTTTTAGATTAGGAAGCCAAACTAAAAGAAATAAAAACCAAAGACAATAAAGTCCTCATGAGACAAAATTAAAGTTCTCATTATTTTTGAATCTGTCAATGTCAGATATCAGTAGAAACAACGCTTGTTGTTTTCCTGTCATTCGTGTAAGTTTCATTATTTTGAATTGAATTGAATTGCCAGTTCGTTGTTTGGTTGAATTAAATATTCTGTTAATAATTTGGAATGTTTAATACAAGAAAGAAGTTGTATTATAAATGTGCCCAATAATTATCAATAACGTAAAACTACCTGAAAACACGCCAACAATTTATCGAAATGGAAACGTATGTATTTCTTTGTACTTTGTATTATTTCAATTATAATATAATTAAGAAGTACAGTTATATATGTGTATTCTGCTGGCAGGCATATATTACATTACGGTCTATTTTTGTAACAAATATGTGTACGTGTGTCTTTAAGTGCCGACTGAAAATAGTTGCAAGCGAACTCGCCGCCGATATTTATTGATGTGATAATATTAAATATATTATAAGTTTTACACTGTGAAATGCAAAATCATGTGCAAATAATAGATACTTGATATTTTACCAAACAACAGGTTGTAGACAATCTTGATCAGTGTTTCTGTGAGATTGTGACAAAATCCAAAAGAAACAATGTTTTACCTCAATACTTTGATTTACAGCACAAAAGTGAATGCTGCTTTCCTCTGTAACTATGAAGTGATGCAGATTTTACAACAACTCAAAGACAGCACTCAGAAAAAACACAAACGTGAAGGATCGCTTGCAACGGTTACTTATGAGGTGAATTTTTCTCTCACACATAAAATATAATATGTCAGGCAATGTCAATTAGTTACTCTAAACTATAAGAATGTTTACATTTTTGTTAGTTTATAGTTTTGTTTTTGTTTGTGAATGATTAACTCAAATTCAAACTAAGAACCGCTATTGCAAATGTCAAAACTGAATGCTTGTTGATTTTAAACCAAAATGTCCATGTAATTGGTATTGGTCAAGTCAATTAAGAATAACTTAAAAGTGAATTCATAATGTACAATAAAAAAACATGTTTTGAAATTTCAGACAGTGCATTATTTGCAAGATACAGACTGTAAGAAACAAAATCCACAATGCATAAAGAAGTTTTTAGAAGCTTTGAAGAATTTTAAGTTGACAAAGACTGAGAAACTTATGATGGTAAACACTCCCCCAAGAACTGAACTGGAGATTCAACTGGTATGCACATGCATTGTGTTTATTTGCTATAAGCAGATTAACAATATTGTCATGAAATAAAACATATTTTTTTTTGCATTTTCGATTATCTATACTTTAGTAATAAGGTTTTATTGCAGGCAGAAAGTTATGGTATATAATAGGGAACAAAAGCAGACCTATTTATCAATCATGCACTACATAAAATTGCAGATTTCATGCTCGACTAGAATCCTTGCTAAAGATCATATCATACTCTCCAAATTATAATTTAATATACTTACTAAATTTGTGTTTGTTAATTGTTTTTTTTACAGATAGTTCAAGAAAGTGAGGAGCGTTTATCAGAAGAAGATGTGCGTAAAATAATTGAGCTTGTCAATGAATGTCTCCCTGCAAATGACTCCTGACATACAGAGACGGACTATAAAACCATAGAAACTAAATAGTGATATTTATCATAGCTTTTATTATGTTTTTAGAATATGTTAAGTTTGCTCTGTATGTGTACATCATATTTGGTTTTTGTCTGTCATATTAGTTTCATCACTCAGTGTACCTATTCATGTGAGTTAATATAATCTTAACTATTTACATAAAATTAATAGTATGAAATATCTTAAATAATATCCTTAAGTATCTGGTCCCATACTAATTTTGTAGTACTGTAGAAAAACATTGAAAATATAGAGAGATAGCATGAGATAGTACCTAGGTACTACCTGATGGATAGTACCTGACTCATTTGAATTTTTATTATGAAGTTTTACCTGTATTTATAATTTTAAAATTGTATGTCTATTGACATTATAGGTACTGACTTTTTTGCAGCAAAATTACATAACCTATTTATAAAATTGATGTGATGTTAATTTGTATAACCTACAATTTTTACCCCACATACACACAAAGAGACCTTCCATAGTAGGCTTTAAAAAGTAGGGTACTGAACTATTTTCAGTCGTACCTACCTAATCTAAGATGTATGCATACCCAACTTAGATAATATATGTAAGTACTAACTAACTTCAATCTAATTAGGTAAGTGATTAGGTATGTTGTCAATTCGTAACAATAATTTGAGTACCTATATTACGCATTACAACGTGGTTTTGTTTTGTTTTTGCAATTTTATAACCACGTGTTTCGATATCGTGATCGTCGTATCAAAGATCAAGGTCACCGTGTGTGTGTTTTTTTATTTTTAGGTTATAATCACGCTGTCGTGTTTAAATGTTTATCTGTTGTATCAAAGACATTATTTTTTCATTTCAATGTGTTTTGCAACCTGAAAGTGAATAGCGGGGTGTCGTGAGGCGTGGAAGCGAGCAATTATTTATGTAAGTTGTTTTTGTATTTTCGAGCGCATGCGTTGAAAGTTAAAAAAGTGAGGTTATGCATGTTATAAATAAACATTATGGCAGGTTATTTATAGCTTTCTCGTTATTATGTTGGTAGCGCCGTTTTTATTATCAGGTAAAAACATTAGGTAACCTAACCATACTTTAAGTACCTACCTAATTAAGTAGGTACTCACCTGTGTTCTGTTTTAATTCTTTTATAACGATTTATAGTTTGTATATTAGGTAAAGAATTTGTTACTTAACTAATTAAAATTACAGGTGGGTTCTGCCGCATTGTTTAAATAAATATATATCTAGGTAGGTACGTATGAACGAAACGCGCGGCGCGCCGTCGCGACATGTACAAACCAGTCTACCGCCACTCGACCGACCGAACCGCGTCTGAGCTGCGCTCGCTCAGTCGAGTTTGTCACCGTGGCGAGCGAACGTGTGTTATAGTTAAGTGACGTAAACAATGGCGGCAGTGTCTTCGACTAGTATTGATGTTTATAAAACGAAAATAAAAGACATTTTTATAACACCACTGAAAAATCTTTCTACAAAACATACACATAGTTTTTGCTGGACAGAATTCGGACAATTAGCAGTAGAATTTAATGGAAAACGGAGAGCTGTTTTAAGTGAACAAGTATTTGTGGAGTTTGCCTACGAAATGCAAAAAATGAAGACGAGAATTGTTTGTTTTTCAAAGTAAGTTAGTTTTACTTTTCCTAGATTGAATTTAGTATTCGAAAAACAAGATTAGTAATCCGAAATTCCAGACTTTCAAGCTAACTATTTATTTTATTTACGTATTATCTTTTAAACTAGTGTCAATATAACTAAATTAGTAGTAAATAAAACATTTATGTACTTACAAATGTTAGGAATTGTTAGATGTTTTTACAGATATTGTTTAGAAATGTCAAACCATCACATTAAGCCTTTTCATTTTCTTTAACATTTTATCACATGGTATAGTTCACATTTATTACTTTTCAGGGCCCAAGTGAAAGCTTACTCTAAAGGAATAGCCACAAGTAATCTTCTCAGACATTTGAAAGATGCACATGGTGTAGAAGATACACAAAGGTCGCAGCCTTCGAGCATAACACAGTTTTTTTCTCCGAGGACTCCGACAACCAGTAGCAGTAGTAAGAGGAGCAGCAATAAGTGGTCTTTGTCTCGAGATTTAGCTCTTTGGTTTGCTAGATCTTTGATTCCATTTGACAGTGTGGAAAATGATGCAATGATTGACTTTTTGAAAAAGTACAACATTATTGTTTCCGCCGACGATTTGCCCTCGAGGCACAACATAGCACGAGAAGGACTGGAAGATGTGTATAAACAGTATGCTAGCGTATGTAAATAATTTTATTTCGAATCAAAGTCCTCGTTTTGGTGCATTAACCGCTGATATGTGGACCGACCAATATAGGCGGCGTAATTATATCACTTGTACGTTTCATTTTAATTCTGAAGACATGACTCTCATCAAATTTACTCTGGCTACAATAGAAATTACCAAGAAACACACCGGCGAAACAATCCGTGACACAATTTTGGAAGTATTGCGTTCTTTTAAAATAGACCAAAAAAATATTTATTTGGTCACAGATGCAGGTGGCAATATGAAGAGAGCTGCGAATTTATTAGGCTTTGATAACCATCTTTGCCTTGGTCATGCTCTCCATAATCTAGTCAATGTAGATGGTATCGCAAACACAAGGGAAATATCCAAGTTATTAAAAAAATGCAAGAAGATTGTTAAGCATGTCCGTTACAGGGCACCACGTGTTGAAGCCGCTGCATCTGCAGCACAAAATGATCTGCTTTCTTTTATTGAAGAATTCGCGGAACATGTAGAGGATGAAGATAGCGACTCAACCGATTCTGAATCGGAATCAACTGAGATACCTGAAAGAGCTTTAAGTTCCAGAAAACATTTGCAGCCCCCTCCTACTATTAAAACGAGCACAAGCACAAGATGGCACAGCGTCTTGATGATGCTGAAAAGCATTTCTAACAGTGCAAATCGTCAGCCTATAAATACAGTTCTGAATGAAATAGGTCGAGGTAGTCTCGTAATACAAGATATAGACTATGAAAATATTGAGGCCTTAATAAAATTCTTAGAAAATTTTAAAAAAATTGTAGAAATTCTAAGTTCAGAAAACTCAGCCAACTATAAATTTGGCTCTGGTATTTCGCTCGGAAATAAAAAGATTGCTGGAAGAAATGGGTGATGATGAGCCTCTTGTAATAAGAAGGCTAAAAAATAATATGTTTAGCGGGTTTAGAATCTCGATTTCCTTTGACTGATGTGGTTGTTGCGGCAACCTTACTCGACTGTCGATTCCATGGAATTAATGAGATAGAGGAATTTATGAAAACAAAAGGAACCACTAAAGTTTCATTTCTGGCATCAATGGTCAGAAGTCGATTGATGACAGAAGACATTCCTCAAAATAAAATTACTGATTCTGCCGGGGAAGTCGGGACGAGTTCTTCCGTTAACGCTGCAAACTTTTTACTGGATTTGGCCCGAAAGCACAGCGCTACTCAACAAGATGCCGAAAGTGCTGTTGAAAACGAATGTTGGACTTATTTCGCGACAGCAAGTCCTGAACATTTACAGCCTTACGGTGGAGATGTTCTGCAATACTGGAGGGACAAAAAAACTTGTATGCCATCATTATATTGCTCTCGCACGATCAATCTTAAATATACCTGCTACAAGCACACCGAGCGAGAGAGGTCTTCTCCACAGCTGGACTAGTAATAACTGCGAAACGTTCTCGACTAAATCCTATCAGAGTGAATAGGATAGTATTCATCCATGATAATTATGTATTTGCAAAGAGTCTTTAAATAAGTAGTTTTGGTCAGTAAATTATTTTTTTATTTATAATACTGAAACATTTTTGCTATTCATCAAACGTGATCTTTTATTTTTTTAAATAATTATTGGACTTTGATTTTTTTTTCGGCGTATTTACCTAGTTTTTATGTAAAAATGTGATCTATTTTATTTCTGTAAAAATTATTAAATTAAGAACAAGCAATTTTGATTTGTTAATATCGATCTCATTAAAATTATTGATGCTAGTTTTAATCTTTAGAAATGTGACTTATTTTATTTCTGTGCAAAATGATTAAAATTAAAGGACAAGCAATGTCGTTGAGTTAATGTTGATTGATCTCATTAAAATGACTGATGCAAGTTATTTTTTATCATTAAAAAGGTGATTTATGTGATGTAAATAAGCAATGTTATACGAATTATGTCTTCTGTTTCTTTATTAAAGTATAATATAGTTTTCTTTAGTATCAATATGTATCTAGATAATGTAGGTACGTCTAGTTACTAGATACCATTATTAGGTATTTATTATCTTCATATTAAGTTGCATACTTAATATGAAGACTTTAAAGATTTTAAAACACAGATTTGGATTGGCACGTATCTCATTTAAATGCAAATTAAAAAAGGTAACAAAGGTACTTAGCTCATTATAGCTAGCTTACATTATATTTAAGTATTGAACTTTGTTCAGGATTTGTAAGTAGGTACCTAAGTAATTTGAGTATTAATTAAAAGGAATTTTTAAACAGTATTATATATGAGTTTTATTAATTTTTCCAGTGTGAAAGTTGAAGCTGAGTTTGCGTCATGTCGGTGTCTCGGTTACTTCTGCACAGTCTTCTGGTCAGTGCGTGCCGTGATGATGCTCAGCGATATGCTTAACCTGCCAATGGAATACAACGATGTGAAATTCCTGCAACTCGAGCAAAAATCTCCTCAATTCAAAAAGGTGAATTTAAAGTTTTTTTTGTAGCTAAATACTTATATTAGGTACCTAAGTACATTTTGACTGCACGGTTGGCGCGGTGGCTGTGCAACTGGCTGCCGCGTAACGTGTCGCGGGTTCGATTCCCGCACGGAACAACTATTTGTGTGATCCACAAATTGTTGTTCCGGTAGAACCGGAACAACAATTGGTGACGTCAAATTGTATGTTTGTAAACGTTCCGCACCACGACACAGTAGAAATGCTAGAGTGGGGCAACGTTTTTTAAAACAATAATAAAAATCTATTGTTCAACCTATGGGTTGAGTTGGTTGAGAAAAATCCATCAGTCTGTTCATCAATGAAGCTAGCTGCAAATTTACTTGAATTCGAATCGAATGGAAAAGCTCCAAAGAAATAAAAATGTTTGTTGACCATTTAATCAGATTTTTAGATTAGATAAGGTTCAATGTTATACAAATATGAAAATTATAAAAATAATCATAGAAAGTACCTACATACAACTTGACAAAAATCACATTGGTAATTGTCAGGTTTTGAAACCTGAGAAGTCATACATGAGAAGCGGGCGGCCCTTTAGACCTGAAAAATATACTAAAAATTACATGTTTGGTAGTTTATTTACTTTTTTATTATATTAACTATCTGTTATTTTATTGTATTGATACATAATTAGTCTGTAAGCCTTAAGTCTGTAGCCTATATTATAAAATGTAATCAATATATTATTTCAGCTCAATCCTATGGGTACAGTGCCGGTTCTCCAAGATGGTGACTTTACTATCTCTGAAAGGTAAAGGTAGATATTGCTATTACAATTAATATTTTTATGATATGTCTACCTGCATAGTAAACAGCCCAATTATTGGCAAAAAATTCTCCTTCTTCTACTTAATGTACGATACTCGAGAGAGAGATGAAATATATACATTTATATTGTTTTATTACTACCAACGGCTTTGACTGCAGTAGCTACTAGGTTAAATAGACTACTTCTTAACCTAGTCCTTGTAGTGTGTCCGTGTTATTCCAGACTATTATTTATTTCTATGCAAATTTTTATTCGGATCTGTTCAGTACTTATCTCGTTAGAACAGCCTATAAAAAACATCGACACTTACAGACGATCGTGCTTATAATATTAGGTACTAGCTTCCGCCTATGTCTTATTTCGGAGTGTATCTTAAGCTTGAGCCAAATTTCATCAATTCACAGATTAAGTAACAAACATTCAAACATGGTAATTTTCGCATTTATAATATTAGTAAGACATTATATAGTAGTATGTTTTTTATAATATTACTGAGACCACTGAGTGAGCGTTATCTTCGCTCGATTACCTCACCAGGTTGACTATCAAACATAACACGTACATTATCTGATAACATGTCCGTTGCTGATTACACAAAGGTGGTTCGATGTAATATTTAGTATGCATAAAGTACTTTGAACTGGTATCCAAGGATTTTAGATATTTACATATTTATTTATTAACACAAAACGGTCTGAATGGTGGACTTTTTATGTAGTAGATCAGCAAACTAGCAGACGGATTACCTGATGGTAAGCAATCAGCGCCGCCCATCGACACCCGCAACAACAGAGGAGTTACGAGTGCGTTGCCGACCTTTTCGAGATTAGGTATTTAGGGACTGGAGAGGGATTGGGGGAGAAGAAGGATTGGGCCTCCGGTAACCTCACTCACACGACGAAACAACGCTGTGGTTGTTTCACGCCGGTTTTCTGTGAGGCCGTGGTATTAATCTGGTCGAGCCGACCCATTCGTGCCGAAGTATGGCTCTCCCACACTTAATGCCTTAAGGCATGCTCTAACAGACATCCTTAGGGTAGTGCACAGAAATCATGCGGTTGGTGCGAAGCAAGGACACAGACAACAAATATTATGTTTGGATATCAGTCCTACTAATATAATAAGTATAATCACACCACTATGTAACTTCCATGTTAACTCCTTTACGCGCTACCCGGTACAGAAGATAATAATAAAGAGTATAAAATTGAAATATCTTGACTTAGCTCACGAGGTTGTTGACATGTGGAATGTGGACTCGGCTATCGTTGTGCCGATAGTTGTGTCGGCAAACGGGTTAGTCCCCAAAAGCCTCGACAACCACCTTAAGAGGCTGACGTTAGGCGGATGGATCAAGGGCCTCATACAGGAGGCAGTCCTCCTTGAAACGGCACGTATTGTGAGGAGGTTCTTGTCTCTGGAGCCCTAACCGCCGGCAGCTTGGACCTTGCTCCCGCTGCCAGCTGGCTCCTACTTTTATATTTTTAAATATTATTTTATTTTATAGTAATATTTAAAAATGTAATTTTAGAGCGATTTTAATAAATATATGTAAATTAGTAAGAGTATAAAAAAAGAGTATTAAAACGACGCTGAAAATGTAAAAAACAAGATTTTCAGAATACTGAAAGGTTTTAATTTTTATACTTTTTATAATAATAAAGTAATCTTACAAAAAAGCTGAATGAAAATTTTTGTATAAGTAACACTTTTGAAGATAGTGTTCTGTTGATAGTTTAAAAAAAAAATACTAAATTTTCTCTCTCCGTAAGTCAGTATAAAACTATGCATGTAATGTTTACTTATAATAAATAATTATTAAACTTACTTTAAAACTCAGTTAACATAAAATAAATAAATAAATATTTTTAGCCACGCCATAATGAAGTACTTGCTCTCTAAGTATGGAGGTGACAAGCGTGAGTTGCTGTACCCGAGCGACGTGCGCACGCGCGCCGTAGTGGACCAATGCATGTTCTTCAACGCCGGTGTCTTCTTCTCTGCTTTTATGTCAATAGGGGTGAGTCAGATCTTACTAATATTATAAATGCGGAAGTTACGATGTTTGGATGTTTGTTACTCAATCACACCTAAACGGCTGCCCGGATCTGGATAAAATTTGGCACAGACATAGAACTGGAATAGGACATAGGCTACTTTTTATCAATACACTACGCGGGCGAAGCCGCAGCCGGAAGCTGTTAGACAATAATATTCACTTTAATGTCACCTGATGTTTTTTTTTTATGAGGAAAATCATCGAATGACTTTATCGCCTAGGGTGAGAGGAAGTGTCACACTCTTACTGAGTTAAAACTTCCCCGTTCCTTCTCCCGCTCTAGGCCGAGGCCGTGGTGCCTCGTTGCGCTTACTCCGCCACCCTGGACCTGATGGTAAGCAGTAGCGTCGCCCAAGTTGACTCCTAACACCAGACGAGGTTTGAAAATGGGGATAGGTTAGGGGAGAGGATGGGATTGGGCCTCCGGTAACTTCAATGGTAATAACAAACACAATTCTGGGTTTTCACAATCTATGGTTATTTCACGAACATTCAAGTGTAGGAGAGCCATGCTTTGGCCCAAATGGGTCGGCTTGACCAGAGTGATACCACGGCCTCACAGAAAACCAGCGTGACACAACCACAGCGTTGTGTTTTGCCGTCAGAGTGAAGTTACTGGAGGCCCAATCCTTCCTCTCCCCTAATCCCCCTCCAATCCTGAAATCTCCCAAACCCATATCCACAAAAAGTCGGCAACGCACTCATAACTACTCTGTTGTTTCGGAGGTCCATGGACGGCGCCGATTGCTTACCATCAGGTAATTAGTCGGTTTCTGTGTGTACCCTATCATATAAAAAAACGTCCCACACTCATGTTTCTCTTTAGGAAGTAAAAATCAAATATGTTTCATTAATTTTTATAATCTGTTACCCCCAGCGCGCAACCTTCACTGGTGGTATATTCACGCCGAGCCCCCAGCACATACAGGACATGGAGTCCTCCTACTCCGTGCTAGATGCCTACCTGCAGAACCGGCCCTACGTGGCTACTGACCGACTGACCTTAGCTGACCTCGCCGTCGGATCAACTGCCTTCACCGCGCAGGTCTTGGTTAAAACGGATGCTGATAAGTAAGTACTTAATTCTTTATGATAAAATTTATACATATATCTTGTTTGTCTTAGGCATTTAATGAGCTTAGTAACTGCGGCTTCTGTCTATTGCCATTATATTTCTTCATATAAATAATATTGATTGAATAGGGTCTATCATATACATATACTTAATAATATACACATAGTTCCACAAGGGTCTTTTTAAAAAATGAAATAAGCAAGCTCTTCATTTTCGTACCCTTTTTGATTGAGATGGAAATCATTGAATTATTTTTCTTGCCCTGGGTGGAGTGAAAGTTGGAACATCAGACTTTTATTGACTAAAAACTACCCCGTTATCTAATTACTAGCCAGGGCAACCCCGACTCGTACCCTCTTGTAGTAGGTTTTATGGAGACAGCAATATCTACATAAACCTAAAAAGAAGATAATTCCATAATTGAAGATCAGAACTGATCTCCCACTATTCTTATTGTATTTGTATGCCAACTAGGCAGAATGTACACGTGCTTTTTTTATGTTATTTTTGATCCTATTGTATGTACCTGCATTCTTAGCAAATAAAGTCTTATTCTATTCTAGTCAAAATAGTATTTTCAACTTTAATACTAAAACATAAAGTCACATTTGAAATTTTAAACAATGACATATCAATTGCAGATTTCCCCGCTGCACTGACTGGATGTCTCGCCTCCACGAGGAAGAAGTATTCAAAAACGTCATGGTACCCGGCGTTGCATACTTCAGTAAAGTCATCAATAAACTCTGGGAACACAACAAGTCCAAACTAGAAAAGAAATAAATCAATATTTATTGTCTATGAAACAAGTTTAAAGTTATTTATAACGAAACCTTATTGGAGGAGAAGGTAAATATATATTTTTGTTCATTCAACAGTCAGAAAATGGCAAATGAGATCTCGCTGCTCGACTTTTGGTATAGTTATATCAGTCACCATGTCTATAATCAAAAATACCATAGCAATTCACTACACAGTATAAAACATAGCTTTCTGTGTCCTAATATCCTTATGTATACTTAAATCTTTAAAACTACTCAACGGATTTTGATGAACATCCATTAATTTGATGCAAAAGGTCTCTAATGTAGCTATAAATTAACAAAAAAATCAAACAATTAACATTATACAAGTTAGTACTCGGAAACTAGTTCAATAGAGTAAATTCTGTGCCAGTTACAGGTTTGTGACGCCATCACATTTTTGAACAAGTTCTATACTTATTTCTTAAAAATTGCTCCTTTTAAATTAGAAAATGAAGTATATCGTCAAATCATTGTGTGATATTACTTATGTTTGTTTTATTGGATTAAAAAGTTGGTATAATTTGTTTTTGACCTTGGATAATACCAAATTGTTTTCATAAACAAACTGTTAAAGTATTTATAAAATGAAGTGACTACGGCAGCTTTTGTCAATCACTAGCGACCCGCCCCCGGCTTCGAACATGTTCAATGCTGTTGCTAAACTAAACGTCTCCCCTATTTAATGGATATTGTGTATATCTGTACTAATCTATACTAATATTATAAAGAGGTAAAGTTTGTAAGTTTATATGAAGGGTGTAATCTTTGGAACCGCTGATCGGATTGCCAAAAGTCTTTCACTGATAGATAGCTACAATATCCCTGAGTGCTATAGGCTATAAAAGATTACGCTAGGGTCAAATGGAGCTGGGGAGCGGGTGAAACCGCTCGAGAGTAGCTAGTATTATATAGAGGTAAAATTTGTAAGTTTGAATGAAGGGTGTAATCTTTGGAACAGCTGGTCGGATTTCCAAATTCTTTCACTGATTGATAGTTACAATGATACTGAGTGCTTAGAGATAAACCCTCGATATACATTACTCTTCAATCACTGTGTATTGAAAAAAAAACGCATCAGAATCCGACGGACATAGAAATAAACTTTATTTTATACTATGTAGTGATACAGAGAAATAAGGACTTTGACCTGATGATAAATAATATGCTTATTTATCGTTTACTTATATATATATCTTATCACAAAACGTAATAAAGATAATATAAATTTTGTAATACAGTCGAATACATAATACAACTACATACATCAATGTTGCTATACCTAAAAATATAATAGTGGCATAGTAACTTTGAACTCCGTGATATCGTTGATTAAATATTTTTTTTTATCTCTGTAATTTGTTGTCTTGGAATGATAAAAGGTTTCACACTATTTTCATAGTGAATTTCGGTTCTGGTTGTGTTTGGTAAGATTTTTTTATTAGTATATTGGTAAATAATTAATAGGCATTGAAAAAATATTATAAAGCTAAAGAGTTTGTTTGTTTGAACGCGCTATTCTCCAGAACAGCTAGTTTAAGAATTGAACAATTATTTTTGACTTCGATTTCCCATTTATCTAGAAAGACTATATCTATATAAAACATAACGCTACCACCAACAGGAAGCGAGCAGAGGGAGTAGTTTTCCATGTTATCTATACTATAATACATAATTATTATAAAGAGGTAATTGTAAGTTTGTATGTAGCGGTTAATCTTTGGAATCGGTGGTCAGATTTCCAAATTCGTTCATTGATACTTAGCTACAATGTTCTTGAGTGCTATAGGGTATATTTTATTTGTGTACGAGAAGTATTGCCCTCGCTAAACACTAAACAGCTAGTTACAATATACAATTATAAATGTTCCAGTATATTATGGCGCCGATCCTGTATAAGTTGGCAGCGAGCCCGCCGGCCTGCGCTGTGCGGATGGTGGCTCACATTATTGGACTCAAACTCGATTACAAGGAACCAGACATCACCAAAATGGAACATAAATCCCCTGAATATCTGAAGGTAATAAATTTCAATGAACGAAAGACGGTGCCTTGTGACTTAGGACCACAGACCAAGCTGCCATGCAATGTGTCCCAGGTTCAGTTCAAACACGAAACAACACGAAAAAAATAATTCCGGCTCTGGGTGACATTTTTTGTGAGATAAGTTTGCAAATGCACCCAGGAGAAAATTGTATTGTTTGGCATGGTTTTTTGTAAAACTAATCTTTTATTCAGCCAACAGTGAGGTGATAAGAGTGTACTTATAAACAAATATATTTATTTTGCCACTTCCGTTCTCCGAACTTTTCACCGTTAGGCACAACAAAATAAGATTTCAATGTTGATCAATTTTGGGCAGGTATTTTCAAGGTAGATCGTCATCAATAGAAGTTCATATTCATTGTTATTTTAAATACCTAATTAAATTGGTTTTATATTATAATTGCAGTTGAACCCGTTGGGAACAATACCAGTGCTAGTGGACGATGACTTCATCCTATCTGACAGGTAAATAAACAAAATAATATTCATATCAATTAAATAGTTTGTTAGTGAGCAATACATAAATAAATCTTAAAAAACAATTTGATCTAAGCCAAATCGGTAAAGCTACTATTGAGTTTAAAATTACAACGATTTTTATATAAATATAGATTAGTCGCCGAACAGACGTGTAGCGCCATCTATTGGTATACTTTGCGTATTAAGCAATTTAATGTTCATGCTTTGCCATCGATCACTAATAAAGAACTAGATACACAATCAGTGACAAAAAAATGTCCTAACTGAAAGTCCACCAAACTCAACATCGCGGTGTAGTTTTAGTTTAGTACCACTCGAATGCTCCGACGGTAAACACGCCTCAGTGCTCGTTAAAAAACTGCAAAAAACACACATCTAAGATGCAAAAAAGGATGGAATTTCATATTTTCGTTAAGTAATAATATTATCATTATATAATTGTCATCATTATATTTTAAATATTGATATTTTATTAAGAAATCAACTTTAAAACTTTTTCCAAATGAAATCGTATTCAAAAACCGGGGTTATAATGCACACAGTTTATAAAGACACTTATACTAAACTTAAAATCATTCTCTAGCATGACCTCTTAAGTTGTTCGGTTTACGTGGATTGATTCTGTTCCGTTTAGTGGAGACGCTATTGTTTCTAATTTTATTTATTGTTTTTTTTTATTAAAAAATAGTTTTTATTTAATATTATATTTCTTTACTGTGTTTATTAAAATATGGAATAGGCAGATGTAATGGATTTAATTTTAACTGCAGTAAAGAATTTTTTTTTTTTAGCTTTCATCAAGACCCGTGCGGTATGAAAAATTGACAACAATAACGCCAACATTTTCAGTACTTACTTTAGATATATATTCTTTTTATTATTTTACATCTTTTTTATTTGACTTCGAATAGAAAGGATTAAGGAGGACGAAAATAATAAAAAAGAATTATAACTATATGCATTAGTTTCATTGGTGAATGAATGAACAAACCTATAGAAAAGAATACTATAAGTAATGCGTTTTAATTTGCGTATTTTCTTTTTTTGATAAATTATAAAATACGAAAGAAATATATTTCTTACAAGACATTTCGACTTCAATCATTCTTTGTCCTAGCGGTGAGCCGAAGTCGTTAAATTTTATTGCTTATTTTTGACACTTTGTAAATTCGACTTAAAAACATGCGAATATGGTTCAATTTCTTATGATTTATGTTTGTCAAGAGCTTCGGTCGCAAAAAGTATTAAGATTTCGTACATCACTTTGTAAAAACAACTCTATGAGTTGCATTTAAGGTTTAATTTACATTAATGCATGTTTATTTTAAGTATAAGTACCTAAATACAGTTGGCGACAGTTTTGAAGCGAACTTTAGTATGGGATTGTGTATCTAGTTCTTTATTAGTGATCGATGTGCTTTGCTTAATATCTGATGCGGCACGCTAAAACAGAGTTTTTTAGAATTCAAATGTTACCTACATTCTCGTGGAGATTATGAGGCCCATATTCCGATATTGAATTGTCACCGACAAGAACTAATTTATTTTCAACTATTAAATTACTTGAAAGCTAGTTCAAATTCAATACTTCATTCCAATGATCATAAATATTTTTTTTTAGTATTTTGACGTCACATTTGTAAACATCAAATAAAATATTTCAACATACACCTTATTTGCTAAAAATAATTAGAACACAAGAAAATTAATTGTTACATATAACCATATAAGTAATGTCTTTTTTATTTTATTTCATTGAATTGAAAACTATAAGTAATTTATTTTTGACCTTAGTCAGGTACCTAATCTTTTATTAAAAACTTTATTGCTAAATCGAGACTCATAATTTATTTTCTGATTTTCAGTCATGCGATAATGATCTACCTGTTATCTAAGTATGGCGGTGCGCACAGCGAGCGTTTGTACCCAAGCGACATCCGCACGCGAGCTACAGTCAACCAGGTGATGTTCTTCGATACTGGCATACTGTTCGTCAGGATAAAAGTTATTGCTGTGAGTATCTATGTTACTATTGTCTCAGACGTGGTGGCCCGGAGGTTAAGGCGCCCGCGTGCCGTTGGCGTCTTCTCACACGGAGGCGGTGTGATCATGAATTACCATTACCTTGCTCAAAACAGATTGGCGATTTCAAACTATACATACCTATATAATGAGATATTATATTTTCAGTTCTCCCTCAAAAAAAATCTTTCACTATTCTGCCGTCAATAGCATAGTTGCAGTAAGTACGCTCTAGACACTTTTGAGAAAAACGCGGTTAAAGTTTTGGCTCGAAAATCTTCCATAAATCCTTTGTTTGTAATCAGATCATGATGGTTGATACCTTAAATGAAAGAGGAGCTCAGCCTCTATCTATTACTTATTTAGACACGATTACTGAGTTATTGGAAGACCAAATAAATTAATCATTGTTGTTATACTAAGTATTTCTTAGAGGCTCTCTGATAAGGAACACTTAGCATAAACACAGTAAGTGTGTTATTTACTGTATTTATGCTAAGTAACCATACGAATTTATGTTTAAATATAATATGGTTCAAAAGTTTTATTATATCAGGCTGGTGATAATAAAACAATTAGTGAAAAAATGTATTTAAAAACAATCAACTAGCGGGAGGCCTGCCCACACTACGTTTTCCGGTCCTTGGTCGCCACTCTAGGACTTTTCGGGCCCATCAACCGTCCGTCTTTCGAGCGACGTGGCCTGCCCATTACCACTTTAGCCTGCAGATTTTGCGAGCTATGTCCGTGACTTTGGTTCTTTGGCTCCACATTTCTCCATCGCGCGCTGAGCGACGCTGAGTTTTGCAAGAAGGCCAGAAGTTAAGGACCACGTCTCAGTACCATACGTCATCACCGGCAACACACACTGGTTAAACATCCTGGTCTTCAGGTACTGTGGGATTTTCGATGAGAAGACATCGTGTAACTTCCCGAACGCCGCCCATCCGAGTTGGATTCTTCGGGCGACCTCTTTCTCGAAGTTGACCTACCTAGCTGATCTAGCTGAGCTAGAGATGATCTGACCAAGGTATGTGTAATGGTCAACAACTTCAAAGATGTCGTTCCCAACGATGACCGGTACAGGTGCAACATGGACATTAGACATGATTTTCGTCTTGTCTATGTTCATTTTCAGACCCACCTGTTGGGAAACGACATCAAGGTCGATGAGCATGGTGTTCAGGTCCTCCAACGACTCTGCCAAAACGACTATATCATTGGCGAAGCGCAGGTGAGTTATGTATTAGCCATTAATATTGATGCCAAAGCCAGTCCAGTTCAAGAGCTTCAAAACGTCCTCCAATGCGTTCGTAAACAGTTTCGGAAAAATCACGTCTCCCTGCTTCACGCCTTTCTGCAATTGGATTGGTTTTGTGCAGTCGTCCTGGAGCCGAATGAGCATGGTGGCATTTCTGTACAAACACCTAAGCACGTCGACGTATCTACAGTCGACATGGCATCGCTGGAGAGACTGCAGCACTGCCCAGGTTTCGATCGAATCGAAGGCTTTCTCACAGTCCACAAACGCTAGACACAATGGCTGATTATACTCCTCCGTCTTTTGTACTATCTGGCGAAGCGTGTGTATGTGGTCTACGGTGCTAAAGCCTTTCCGGTACCCGGCTTGTTCGGGAGGCTGGAAGTCATCGAGCCTGCGTTCGAGACGGTTCGTGATGACCCTCGAGAACAGCTTGTACACATGACTCAAAAGTGAAATAGGTCCGTAGTTTTTCAACAAAGTGCTATTTCCCTTTTTGAAGAACAGAACTACAACACTTCTTTGCCATGATTCGGGCGTACTACCTTCGAGTATGACGGAATTAAATAACTTTTGGAGGACTAAAAGTATCGGTTTCCCAACCGCTCGCAGAAGTTCTGTTGTGATTCCGTCATCGCCCGGTGCCTTGTTGTTTTTAAGCTGCTTGTGAGCCATCCTAATCTTGTACAGGCTGATGTCTGGGATATCCTCAGTATAGTGTCGTGTCAGCTTAGCTCTTGGGTCCCGAGCTGCACCGACAATGGATTGCCGTGTTGAGGTATACAACTGTCCGTAGAACCTCTCGAGTTCTCTCAGAATCTCCGATTTCGATGAATGATGCTACCATTACCGGTCTTCAGCCTCGTTATTTGGCTTTTCCCAATAGACGATTTTTTTGTGAAGACTTTTGTGCCCTGGTTTCTCTCGATGGCCTCCTTAATTCGAGCAGTATTATATGCACGGAAATCGCGTCGCATGGCTTTTGAAATTCGCCTATTGAGATTACCGTACTCTGACATATCGGCTGAAGACTGTAGTCTCATTTCGTTTCGGTGCTTTAGGAGCTTTAATGTTCCGTTCGCGAGCTTTTGAGGCTTGTTTCGGCGTGAGGTCTTAGAGAATTCCGACCCCACTGCTCGGACAGTTTCCACCAACCCATTATTAATTGCGTCCACGGTTTCGCAATCGGTAAGGCACTGGAAGCGATTATGAAGTTGGAGTTGAAAGGCTTCGGGGTTCCGAATCTGAGCGTGGCAAGGACGGAGTGTCAACTTCACCAGACGTGACCTTTCCAGCTTGACATTAATATTCAGTATGCCCTTGACAATTCGGTGATCGCTACCAGTTTTCACTCTAGCAATTACAGAGACATTACTGAATATACGCTTGTCGGTCGCCATAATGAAGTCGATCTCATTTTTGGTTGTCCCATCAGGGCTTATCCAGGTCCACCTCCTGGCCGGTCGCTTTTTGAAGAAGGAGTTCATCGGATAGAGACTCTCCCTCCTTAAAGTCTACCAGGCGCTGTCCCCGATGATTTCGCTGCCCACATCCAAAAGGCCCCACTTTCAACTCATCGCTATTCTGTATACCTTTGCGTTGAAGTCTCCCATCACAACCCCGCACACTCCCGTGCACCCTCGCGCACTCGCAAATCGTCTTCATAGTAATCGAAAAGTTTACGTAGGTACTCAAGGAATACATAATTATACTTTCAATTGTTCCTTACTGCTTGTGTTATAAGATAAATTGCGTGACGTTTGATTACAACGACAAATTATGTTCACAGTAAAGCAACTTTACTTGCACAGTATTTATGACGTGGCACTATATCTCAGCTACTTAAACGTGCAGTAAAAACGATTTATAATTTTTATAATTAGTCGTTAGATCATATTATATGTATGTACTTCCTAAGCATGGATACAATATATTATTTATTTATTTATTTATTCTTTATATACAATTGCATATCGGAGGACTTAATGCTAGAAGCATTTTCTGCCAGTCAACCTTTTGGTAGTGCAGAGATGTGTGGTAGGTGATATACAGCAATTTAGGAAGTTACGTGAGGTGGAGGTGTAAATCAATTCTAAGTTACATACATAAAAATAATATATACATATATAAAATACATACATATATAAACACTAATACACATAATATAAATAAATAATATAATATAAAAAAATATATATATATAATGAGGACAATTTATAATCTAAGTGGGGAAACTACCATCATCTTGCCTATGTACTCACGCACCCTACGCTTGAAACACAACCGGCTGGTTGCAGCTCTGATATCCGAATTAATAATAATATAGATAATTTACAGCTTCCATGATAAGTACACCTGACTCTTACGCTACAACTGCTGCCTAAACATAATCACAGGATGGCTATATGCTCTGTAAATAATGATTAACCTCATGTTAGATCTGATTACGTTACTAAACATAAATTCAATATCGCATCGAACTGTCTTTGTAGTAAGTAATCTGAAACCTACGCTTAGGATCAATACTAAGCATACATGCAGTATCGCGGCATATTGTTTTTAAGACTAGACCACTCATTTAGTAAATATAGGGAAACTGCTTGGGATCAAAACAGTATATCTTCTTAATGTTTATTTGCTAGGCCCAAATTAAATTTTAATAAAGTAAATGACTTAACATATTAGTAGTATAGTAGTCATACTGTACTTATGCTGAGAGACTCAAAACAAGATTTTTTACCGTAAGTGTGCCCACTGTAATAATGCCTTGTGATGTAAAAAAAATGCTCAACTTACTGCAAATTTTTAATTGCTAAATATGAATTAAAAAACGATAGAAATAAATGAGTAAGATGTATACGTAGATCTCGTTCTCGTGATCACGTCTGTATATCTAACTCAATTTTGACAAAAACCCGACTTACTGCAACTATGCTATTGACGGCAGTATTTGCCAATGGTATCTAAATATATTTAGAAAGTACATATAAATCGGAAAACGTTCCACTAGTAATTGTCACGCTCCGAACGTCCAAGTTTCTAACTCATGCATGAGAAGCAGGTGCCTTACCTCCGGGCCACCGCGACTGCAATTGTTTGTTGTTATTAATCGACAAATTTCAAGCCAGGCTAGGATTTGTAAATATGGGATATATATGCAACACACAATGTGGTCACATCGCGTGGCCAAATGCTTATTATCTTTATCTATCGAATTTCTGTGTCAATGCCATAGGTACGCTAATTTTGCTATTTACTTAATTGAATTACTTTACTACATATAATAAATATGCAATATTTAACACTATTGCCACTTCGACCAGTTCGATTATGAACAAGTAGGTAGTTTCCAACCGTGTTTCCAACAATGAATTATTAAAATATAATCGACACTTACATTTTTTTATTTGACTTTATAACGAATTTTGAATTTTAGTTTTTTTTTTTAATTCTAATTTATTTTTAGAAATAAGTACGGTATGATTTACGACGTTAAGCTAATGCTTGACATCATAATTGATGTCATATGTTGCGATTTCATACAAAATTCGATTCGACGAAATTATCTGAATATCTTCGTTGATTTATTTTTAGCTGCCAACAATAATGGAAGGTATGAAGGCGCCTCCAGAGAAACATCTGCGTGACTTGGAGGAGGCCTACGGTATGGTGGAGGCCTACGCGTCGAAGTACAAGTACATAGCTGCCGACCACCTGACCATCGCAGACCTGTCTCTAGCGATGACCATGGGAGCCGCTCAGGTTCTGCACAAACTCGACCATAAGAAGTAAGATATGATTTTTTACTAGGTACTCTCGCGCGGTTTCACCCGCTGCTCGGCTGCATTTAATCGTAGCGTGATGGTTTATAGCCTATAGCAATCAGGAACATTGTAGTTATCTTAATTGAACAAACTTACAAACATACAAATTTACAAACATACAAAGCTACAAATTTTACCTCTTTATAATATTATTACATTCATTGTTTCATTGTTGTTTCATGTTGGTGCGCTCAGTAGAGCTGTCTATAAATTTAAATATAATACAATTAAGTTGTATTCTTGTAGAAATTTGAATGTAACTTGTAGTTTCTATATAAGTAAGTAAGATTAAGTTTGTAAAATTGGTATAATGTTGAGCAAAAAAATGCAAAATTGTACGAAAAGGACATGGACCACAAATAGGGTTGCCAACTTTTTTTAGAAGAAATAAAGTATATTTGATTTTAAAGGAGGTAAATATAGAGTATGCACTTATAAATAAGAGTATCATTTATTTTTATCTTTTAAAGATGTATTTTTTAGTACCTATTGTGGCACATTTTCATTATTTTTAAAGGTATTGAATGACTCTCAACATTCTAACTCTCAATTTGTAAACTTACCTATTTAAGCTCTGTTTCTCTCTCACTCTTTTGTAAAAAAAAAGAGTATTTTAGCGTACTTTATTAGTGTTATAGAGTATAGAGTACGACCACGTGATATAGAGGACAATACTCTATTTTAGAGTACGGTTGGCAACCCTAACCACAAATATTATAAAAACCCCATCCCTCCAACCAACTGGTGATCCGACTCCTCGTTTGCCGATCCCATAAAAAACCTCTAATATTCATATTACGTCTTATAATTCTGTGATCTCATAAACCTGAAAAGTAACTTTAGTTGAAGATATACATCTCCGTAACAGCTGATTCACATGGCAGTGCTATAAAATATCAAGCGATCAGCGGGCGTATAGATACGCCTCGGGGGATTAAGTAGTTTTTTTATTGTGTAATTTGTAAATGCTCAAATCAGATGGATAACTTTATTAATTGAACTTTTTAGTTTTTATTTTAATAAAAATCTGCTATTGATTTGGTCTTTGTCCCACGCTTTTTTTTTCTGTTTCGTAACTTTAGCAAAAGTATAAATTAACATGCGCTTCATACTGAGATTTAAAATCACATTTTGTTTAAAAAATGAGTTTAGGCGCAACTCAATGCTTTCATTGTAGTATTATTAAAATCTTACTGTGGTTTTCAACAGGTTCCCCAATACCTTAAACTGGCTGGGTCTGGTGGAGAAGGAACCCTACTTCATACAAATAGGATTGCCCGGCATCGCCAAGTTCAATAAAGCCATGCAATACTACACTGCCAGAAATAATCAATAAATTTATTTTAAATTTATAATCGTTTTTTTTTTACCTATGGCAAGCCAAATTACCACATTCATATCTCACCATGTTTGCTCAAGACGGGATGGCGATTTCAAACTTTAATTAGAATTTTTAAGTAAAGGTTTCTTCGCCATGTTTTCGTCCACTCTATATCAGCGGTGTCATAATAAACTAAGAAAGTACATATAGCTCGAAAAAAGTTAGATACACTGGTACTTGTCAGGTTTTATCTCGCTTTTTAATGGCTAAGAACCTTAACCTCCGGGTCACCGCCACAGGAATTTTTATACTGTATGTACTAGCTACCCCGCCTCTGCATATGGAAACCTGCGTCACCAAAGGAAGAAAGTTGCCTGCCTTTTAGGGATAAGAGTGCCGGATATTTAAGTATTAGGAAGGGATGGGGGATGGGAGTGATTGGGCTTCCGATAACCTCACTCACACGACGCAACAACGCTGTGCTTGTTTCACGCCGCCCGGTTGTCTGTGACACCGTGGTGTTACTCAGGTCGACATTCGTGCCGAAGCTTGGCGCTCCCACACTTAGAACTAAACTTCGGGAAAGTATGTTCTATTTTTTTCGTTTTCAATGCACCCCTGGTACTTCTTTACTGGGGATGCCATTCAGATGCAATGTAACTGTAGGTAACCACATTTCTACAGTAATTAAACATCGTGGAATGAAAGGTATGAAGAATACAAGAAAACGATTGTGAAAGAATGTATAGGTATTATATACCTACATCAAAATACATATGTGCAAGGGCTTAAACTACAACCGATCTCCAAGTTTTGCCATTCATGTCGTTCAAAATATTGACTCTGACCGATTCAAAATAAAATAGAAATTAACTGAGGTCGGCACACCTTATCGATCCGATACGACGTTCAAACCTTTAAGAATAGAGTAAGGCCTGCAACCATGAAATAATTTCCAGGCTATTTACTTCATCCCGGCATCATTCCAGGTGTAAGACCGGCAACCAAAGACTAATACTGTAAGCCGACAACGCACTTGTGACGTGCATTTCATCATTCACAATTCCCACAGTCATTACACTACATTGAAATAAGTTACCGCACCGTTGTAATCATGTCAATTCGTCATGTAATTACCAACGATTATCACAATAAAAACTTCATTAAATTATCTAATTTGAATGAAAACAATAATGATCATCACAATATTAAATAGTCATTCTTTATTTCACCGTGACATCGTCGCTGATAACTTTTATACACGTAAAATAGTGCACTGTCAGTACTCGAAACTGTCCTTATCTACTCGCGATTATATATACATAACACATTGATACGTATGTGTTATATAATTCTATATGTTAGAGGAAAACTCGTCAATTGTCAACAGACCTTGGCTCTGAACGCACGGTGAGTTTGCTTTGCATTTACATAAAAAGATTAGCATTACAATACATACATATTTACTTCCGTGAGTGAAGTCTTTATTTACCTACATCTCCGTCAAGCGATTTTGTGATTTGTTTCGTAGATATAGGAGTGGGTTTGAATGCATGAGATAATTTGTTTGTATCACATATCTAGTTTTATTTACGTATGGTTATTTTTTATATAAATGTGAGAATTAGTTAAGTATTATATAAATAATTGTAGCGCGGGAGATCATTTGGTTAGGCTGTGGCTTCGCTACACTGTGGCTGCAACGCGCCGCAGCGCTACCTATTACAGTAACACGCATGCGCGGCCCCCCCTCCGCCGCCCGCACACCCCGCGCGCCAACGCAGGCCGAGGGGGCGCGAGCGGCGGCGCGGGAGAGCGCCGAGCGCCCCAACCCTCGTCGCGTACGGGCGACATTCGTATTCCTCCGCGACTCGACTCCACTTTAACCTAATGTAACCATGTGCTTTAATATAAGAACTATAGATGTATCATGTGACTAATTATGTTATACAAAGAATAAAGTTTTAATGTTCCAACCATTAAATAATGTAAAAAAAGAAAGAAAGAAAGAAAAGAAAATGTTTTAATAGGGTAAAGGCTGATTTTTACCGTTTTAAAAAAAGAAGGATTAAGTAGCTCAATAAACTTGTCAGGTAAAGACGAATTTAGGTAATTATCTACTTAAAACCTTAATTATGTCAATACAAAAACCAACGTTAAATTACGTGGAGTTAGTGTTAAAGTTAAAATTCAGTGTCTGTTTGCAATTGACACTGAATTTTCCATCGAGACTGCGTGTTTAAGGAAACAAAATCACAGATAATAAAAACTAGACGAGAGGTTGCATTCCGACTGGGAGCATGAGAAGGAACGGGATAGGATTATGGTTAGTAAGAGCCGGACACTAAGTACCTTTCCAGAAGTCATTGGTCGATTCCCCTTTTCCAACTAACAATGAAACAAAAAATGTATCATTAAATTAAATGTATAAAACAGCACTTACACGTCAACATTTAGTATAGGTTACTTATAAAAATCTTAATGTATCTACAAATTAAATGTAGGAACCAGTTTTCATTACTATGTCATAAAATACATGAGAGATTTTTTAAATCTCAACTGTTTTTTAATGTTATAGGTCGACAAAGGAGCAGACGGATTGACTGATAGTAAGCAACTGGCGCCGCCCATGAACAGCCGCCACACTCAGAGGAGTTACGAGCGCGTTCCTGGCCCTTTGGGGATTATGGTTTCGAAGATTTAGGGCTTGAGGATCCGGTAACTTCACTCACACGGCGAACGACAACGCTGTGGTTATTTCACGCCGGTTTTCTGTGAGGCCGCGGTGTCACCTCGGTCGAGCCGAACCATTCGCGAAAAAGCATGGCTCTCCAACACTTTAAAACTTAATAATACACTGCTCGATAAGGAAATAATGATCAAGAATGAAGAGAAACATACTTATAAAAATCTAGATCAAACACATCTAGCCGGGGTTGCGGGGTACCTAAGTGCAATGTGACACCGCGGCCTCGGCCTAAAACAGGAGAAGGAACGGGGGTTTTTAGTCAGTAAGAGTCTGACGCTCTCTCTCGCCTTACCCAGGGCGGGAAATGTCATTTGATGATATTCCCCTGACAAAAAAAAGTCGGGTGACGTGTAGGTACCTACCAATCACTGCTCACGCGAACAGATAGCGATATCTAAGTAGTTAGGTACCCAAATATAGATTTTACAATCAATGCGTAAACAACAGATTTGTAAATATTAAATGATTCAACAATTAGGTATACTTAATTCGTTTTGTACAAACTTAACGTGGCAAAATGTTTGATTGAATCTCTACATACCTAGTATAAAACAAAGTCGCTTTCTCTGTCCCTATTATAAGTTTAGTATAGTATAGTACCTATAGTATTATAATATTAAGTACCTGAGCTAAATCCTTGGTGTTGCGAATGTAAATCGGTGGAGCCGATTGCTTACCATCAGGTGTACCACCCGTCCGCTCGTTTCCCGAACTACGGCATAGAAAAAAAAAAAAAAAAAAAAAAAACGGCACGCTACCATAGCAGCGGTAAGACCCCTCTTTGAGGAGTGGCTTGAGAGACGCCACGGCGTCCTCACCTTCCGCCTGACGCAGGTGCTTACCGGGCACGGCAGCTTCGGTAGGTTCCTGTTTCGGATTCAGCGGGAGGAAACGCCCGAGTGTCGTCATTGTGAGGACCACCTAGAGGATACGGTGGAGCATACGGTAGCGGTATGCCCTGCCTGGGCTGAGCACCGCCGTATCCTCAGGGAAGTGATCGGCGGCGGCGACCTCTCGCGCCCGGCCTTAGTCGAGGCCATGGTGCGGAGTGAGAGGAACTGGGACGCCGTCTCCTCCTTTTGTGAAGCAGTCATGCTCGCAAAGAGAGAGGCGGCCCGCGTGAGGGAGCAATCCTCCTCCTCACGCCCCAGCAGCCGCAACTGGCGACACTACGGGCGTCGGGGATCGAGGGACGATCTCCGGCCACCGTAAGTACGGGCCTGCGGTCGGCGAGTAAGGGCAGCTCGCCGCCCGACCAGAACCAGGCCCGAGCGTACGGCGCGTAGCGTTCCGCGCGCGCCTCAAAGAGCCAATAGACCACCACAGACGGGGCCCTAAAGGGCTGATGTTCAGCCGGGGTTGCGGGGTAAGCGCAATAAGGTACCGCGACCTCGGCACAGAGCAGGAGAAGGAACAGGGGGGTTTTTAGTCAGTAAGAGTCTGACACTCCCTCCTGCCCGGCCCTGGGCGGGAGAAGTCATTTGATGATTCTCCCCTCACAAAAAAAAAAAAAAAAAAAAAAATAGAAAAAAAAAATGTAGTTTTCATTTTCCACTTTATTTCAAAAGGGTGAGGTTGATAATACGAGTAGGTATACTTATGTATTAAACGACACTTACGACAACTAACTGAATTCTGTAGCAATCATAATTGAGACTGTCAACCTAGGGAACCCTTTGTGGGGGGAATATAAATGGGCTTGCCTCGCCAAGGGTATCGCTATAACGAGAGGATAAAAACTCCCCTGTTTCTTCTCCTGCTCCAGGCCGAGGCCGCGGTACCTTATTGCGCTTGACCCGCGACCCCTCCTCTTTTATGGTATAAGTCGGCAAACGAGCAGACGGATTACCTGAAGGCCACGACAAAAGGATATCACCGCTCGATCCCTGAAGCTCTGAGTGTAGGCTGCTGCGGTGAGTGGGCGGGCGTGAGGAGGATAGTTCCTCACGCTCTCCACCTCCTACTTTGCAAGCATCACTGCTTCGCAAAGGGAGAAGACGGCTTTCCAGTTCCTCTCGCTCCGCACCATGGCCACGACTAAGGCCGAACGCGAGAGGCCTCCGCCAACCTAGGGCAGCCTGTAAGATTGTAAAAAACTCGTAAGTATATCTAATAAATGTACCTCTACTTGTCAATTAGATAACAAAATGGCGCCGATCCTTTACAAGATAGATGCCAGCCCTCCCGCTAACGCGGTGAGGATCCTCTCCGATATCATCGGGCTGGAACTCGAAGTCAGGGACGTCAACTTCGGTGTCCTGGAACACAAGTCTCCTGAACATTTGAAGGTGGGTTTTGAAGATCCGCTTTTGTAAATAAACATGATTTCAAAGATAAATAAAAACATTAGCAAGTTAGTGGGTGAGAAACAATTAGGTACCTAAGTTTATTGTTTTATGATAATAACTTTATTTTTAAATTCATAATTTTATACGGAAAATACCAGACAAAAAGACACTGATGATGAAATATAAAAAAGTTAATAAAATTCTGTTTTTGTGCACTGAAAACAATGTATCTTAGTATTCCTAACTACCTAGGAGATCTGGATACAAGGTTAAAATTTGCTAACTGCATAATTTTATCGATATCGTCCAAAAACATTTAAATCATTATTTTTTAATTATTTTTATCTTTATTTTGTTCCGCAGCTCAACCCCATGGGTACAGTACCAACATTGGTTGACGGAGACTTCACCATCTCTGAGAGGTAATAATTTTATAAGTATTGATGTAATTTGATGAAATGGTTTGTCATAGACTACCTATGTAATATTGTCTAAAATATTTCAAAAACTTTGTTGTGTGTTATAAGCAATTTTCTTCCCTATAATAATATTCCCTATATTAATATGTAGATTAATCAGTGATAATATATATGTATATGAAGGAATATTGTGTAGTTAAGTACATAAGACTCGGCTCCGGCTTGGAACCGGATAAGGCACAGGGTGGTTTTCTGGTTTTCAATCAGTAAATGTCAGGAACTCCCTCTCGCCTTACCCAGTGCGAAGTCATCAGACATCGGGTTTTGGTCCCATCAAAACAAAGAACATAAATATAGAAAAAATCCTAGTCCGGGAATATTTTATATGTCGTGGGAGCGTTCCAAAATATACAATGACACACATTACACACAGACCAGAAAAAATAATTTGTGAATTACACTAGTTGTTCCGTGTTCCGTGCGAGAGTCGACCATTATTTACATATTATATTTTCTTTGCAGCCACGCCACCATGAAGTACCTTCTCTCAGTATACGGAGGTGACAAGAGCGAGTCTCTGTACCCGAGCGACGTGCGCACGCGCGCCCTCGTCGATCAGTGCATGTTCTTCAACGTTGGCATATTCTTCATCAGGCTCAAAGTTATCGTTGTAAGTATTTCAGCCAGATTTCAGCTAGTTTACTTCATCCATCAACTCTTTGATTGGGTTGTTCTTCGTAGATGAATGGATTTACCACAGTAGGTATCCGTTTTTAAAAGGGCTAAGGACGAAGTTTGAAAAGAGGAAAAGAAAACTGCACTGTTACGATTTTACTAGGTAATAATTTGGTAGACGGAATTGGGTGTCTTATTTGAAAGTATTTGTCACTTTAAAGAGCCGCGCTTATTGATGAAAATTGAACAGCTACTTATTTCATGTTTTAGCTGCCTGCTTTATTCGGTGACTTGGACGGTCCCACGGAGAAGCATAAGGCAGATATCGACGAAGCCTACGGCATCGTGGAGGCGTACCTGGCCAAGAACAAGTACGTAGCTGCCGACCACCTCACCATCGCAGACCTGAGCGTCGGCGCCACCGCCATCTCCATGCATCCCTTGCATAAACTGGATCCTGCCAAGTAAGTACACAAGAAAATTATATTTTTTTTCAAGTTTCCCCTGGAAGTAGATGATTCCTAAAAAACCTCTGGAAATATACCCAACGTGTGTGGTATATATTATGATATATCAGTAGGTAATATAAATATCATCTTGTATTAGATATGATAAAACAATAAAATACCTAATGTTACTAAATTCTAAAACGACCTCAAATCAATGAATAGTAAGTACCAATAAAAGCTCAGTGTAAATGTATATTGAGGTTATTGGGTTCGTCCCGGACAATGGACCGACGCTAACCAAGGATTAAGTAACCTTTATCAGCTTTTCGTCGGCAGTTGAAAGCTAAAAAACACCCCATTTATCGATCAGGTGATGGGAGACGTGTGGGGGAATAAATCCCGTTGGGGGAAAACACTCATTTAAATGTGTGGAAGAGCCATGCTTCGGCACGATGGCGTCGGCTCGACCCGAGCGATACCACGGCCTCACAGAAAACCGGCGTGAAACAACAACAGCGTTGTGTTTCGCCGTCTGAGTGAGGTTACCGGAGGCCCAATCCTTCCCCTCCCCCGATCCCTCCTCAATCCCTAAATCTCCAAAACCCTAATTCCTAAAAGGTCGTAACTCCTCCGTTGCGAGTGTCCATGGGCGGTGCTGAAAGTAAACAATTTTCACTTGATATTTCTGTGCCAATATAATATTGAAAAGCTAAAAAGTACGATTTGTTTGAACGCGCTAATCTCCGGAACGACTGGTCCTAATGTTTGCATTGGATAGTCCATTAATGATGAAGGCTATAAAACCTCATTCATTTACCAATAGGGCCTAAGCGGTGCGTGAAAACTTTAGCTGTATTGTTTCTTTTATGCAATCTCTTTAGCCAAGACCATATTTTCTAGATTGACAAATAATGTTCGGGAGAGCTTAACAACTTGGTTCTCTCTAGTCCTTTCCACCATCGCACCACCACACAATCGGCAAAACGTCATCGCTTTATGGTGGATATCCCACCTATACCTACCTATGCATGAAGAGGTTCGCCTCCAGTTTTATAATCCGTATTCTTTACCGGAGTCTGTGTTCCTCGAAGGTTATATAACCTGGGTGTCTTCAAGGCCCGAGTGAATAGGTTGCTTATGGGTAGGCAATAGTAGGCATGCTCCATCGTAGGTCGCGTTATCGTTTACCAGCAGGCGTGATAGCGGCCAAGTGTCGGCCCATTACGAAATAAAAAAATATATATCAAGGTTTGCATTAATAATTTCCTAACTCCTCGTTTTTTACAGGTTCCCTCTGACAGCTGCGTGGATAGCCAAGTTAAAGGAGCATCCGGCAGTTCAGAAGTACCTGGTCCCCGGAGCCAAGATCCTCGGAGATATTGTAAACGCTGCCTGGGATAAGAATAAGAAAAAGTAGATTATATGTATAATAAAATGTAAATAATTTATTTACTTTGTTTTTTTATTAAATACCTTGCCCAATAATAAAATAATGTCCAATAATAAAATAATGTGTTTGCCCAATACCTTGCCCAATAATAAAATAAGGTCACACTCAGACCCAGAGCCGGAACATGGCAAGCCACTGGGCCTGTGCCAACAGTGCAAGCTATTATCTTGTCTGTACATTTTGTTGACGGGGATCATTCTCGTCAGTTATGACTTATGAATATAGTTGATTTTAAACTTTATTACCAAACAATAATGTCACATTCAATACTTTTATTGCAAATTTTTAAAACAATACTTTTCTATGAATGTTGTACTAGATCGCGTAACCTGTTTATGTCAAATTACATTCTTTTTTTGCTATGTATCTGAATTTAGTTGTATCGAATAATGTATTTCACATCACATCATCAGCCTATAAGTGGGTACTTTTAGGCTGATGGTGAGTGGGGTACAGCCCTCTTCTGAGACAGAGAAGAGGGAGAGAAATTAGGATTCCAGTTTTCCTCACGATGTTTCCTTTCACCATACTTGGAAAGTACAACATATATACAACACATACCTACATATAACTCTGAAATAGTAATAGATATAGGTACCTATTACCTACTTGCTAGGTTTTAAGTCCGCACTTGAGAAGCGGGCGCCTAAACTCCGACTCACCACAAAAATACCAATAAAAGTGTTTATAAAATTTTAATAATTAATTGTATTAAAAAGACAAAATAATTTATTTTTGGCTTGAAGAACTATTCAGTTCTATAATTTTCAGACTGTATGTAGCTTGACGTACTTGCATATGTCATCAATGCGCCTCAGCGGTATCTAATCACCATCATTACACATTCACATTTTTAGGTAGGTATACCATAAAGTACTATTTTGTATGTATATGTATGTATAACCAGCAAATGGTATTCACAAAACGCTCACCAAACGCTTCTTCAGCATAAATTTTCTAGTGTTCGTCCTTACTGAAAAATTTTACGTGAACAAAAAACGCTCTACTAATTTCAAATCACAGAGGGACTCTTCTTCGCAGCAGCTTTCGCGAAGCAGCGAGGGCGCTCAGCCAACTGGACGCGACTTGCAAACATTTAATTTTGGCTGAGAAACAGTTGTGAATTCAAACTAATAAAGCTTAATACTCAGTTAAGTCACATAATTAAGATGTTATCTTCATAAAATTTGTTTCATTGAAGCATTTTTTGATAAGACTGTGATAATAATAATCGTGATTGGTGCCGTGTGGTAGATCGTAAATTAAATAATAATTATTATAACAACAATGATAAATTTTATTTAAGTATACACTAATGACAATGTTAGGCCCAAGGAAGTTCGGCGAGTAAGAGCAACTCATCGCCCAACCAGAACCAGGCCCGGGCGTACGGCACGTAGCGTTCCGAGCGCGCCTCAAAGACCCAATAAACCACCACAAAGGGCCCTATAGGGCTGATGTTCAGCCGGGGTTGCGGGGTAAGCGCAATGAGGCACCGCGACCTCGGCCCATATCAGGAGAAGAAACAGGAGGGTTTTTAGTCAGTAAGAGTCTGACACTCCCTCCTGCACGGCCCTGGGCGGGAGAAGTCATTTGATGATTTTCCCCTCACAAAAAAGGTCCAAAGAAGTTCCACCACAGATGGGGCCCGTCCGATGGCCAGCATGCAAGCGATATGATGTTCTGCTATCCTACCTACGTATCTGTGCCTACTGACGAATTTGCCTCCTGCCTCCTGCCGTGCAGGAGAAGGAACGGGGTAACCGGTGAACTCTGTGTGTACTCTTATCTAAGTAAGGGACACTCTCCCTCTCGGGTAGAATAAGCGATTTACTAATATTCTCCCATCAAAAAAAAAGAGGGAAGGTCGAGATACCTACTTATAATATATTTGTTATATCAATTGGTATTTAATTTCACACTTCAAATAATGTGATGTTCATCTACTATATCGTAATTAGCAACTCGTGTTGCTCTTAAATCTTTTTTTTTTATTTGATAGTACGGCAAACGAGCAGACGGATTACCTGATTGTAAGCAATTAGCCCATGGACACCTGCAACAACGGAGGAGTAACGAGTACGTTGCTGACCTTTTGGAGATGAGGTTTTGGAGATAAGCAGAGAAGAAGGATTGGGATCCAGGTAATCAATCTCATTCAATTGAGTGATAACAAATTCAAAGTCAAGTCATTAATTTCAATTTTAGGCATTATTGAAAGTTAGAAAAATATTTAAATGTGAATCTGTCAGTAAGTCTCATTAGAGAATCTCGCTCCAAACTGAAGATTCGGATAGAGAAGAACGAGCAAGAAACTCCATGGTTACTCTTTTTGCTTCCTGCTGTGTTTCTTAAATATCGCCTTACGCGGCTCTCCCGACCCGACTGCATCGGGAAGCTTACAGAATTTTTTTTTCTGAATACAAATTCTGTATTAGATACACCTATAACTCCTTTTTGCTTTACATTCCATGCAACTTTTTTTGTGAAGGGAAAGTCACCACTTCTGTCGACCAGGGTGAGGCAAACGGTTGTGTCAGACTCTTCCTGACTAAAAACGCCCGTTCCTTCTCCTGCTCCAGGATGAGGCCACGGTACCTTATTGCCTTATTGCTTGCCCTGCAACCTCGGCTGCACCTTATGCGGGAATTAGGGGTCTTATCTACCACTATACGCCAAAACATGAAATCCAATAAAAAATATCAAAATCATTGTTGAATGTTGATAGGTATACCTAACCATAACCTTTTTTAGTTTTATCGCTTTAATGCCATGATAAGAGTTTGGGACCGTGTGAACCGCCGTGTGTAACTCAAGATTATGTGTAAATATAGAATTATGTATTCGTATAGTATGATTTTAAGTTTTTGTGAAAGCACGAACTCCAATTCTGAATTAGTTCGTTCGATTACTTCGGTAGGAACAAACGGTGAGTTTCAAATTATTTTAATTTTTAAATGGTTTATTATTTCTTATACCTATGAGTACCTATATTCAGTTAATTAGTAACCTCCATAAGATCTACACTTTGGAACGAGCAAATAGCTTCACTAGTGGACAGACTTACACGCTTAAAGCTCTTGAAATATTTTTTTCCTTTTTTTTGCTTGACGTTTAAAAGTGCCTACTGTGGTCTAATTATTGATCGAAGGGTCTAATTGAAATAAATGACTTTGACTTTTGACTTTTCATCTATTATGTTTGTGATAAATTAAGTACTGTCAAATAAACTTAAAACTTTAGGTATCTCTGACCTTTATATCTGACTGAGGTCTTTGTCATATGTTCCTGTATTCCTTTAAAGCCACTATTAGCTTTCGACCGCAGATATGCTAGTGTTAACCGGACCCGAGCGTACGGCGCGTAGCGTTCCGCGCGCGCCTCAAAGAGCCAATAGACCACCACAGTCAGGGCCCTAAAGGGCTGATGTTTAGCCGGGGCTGCGGGGTAAGCGCAATGAGGCACCGCGACCTCGGCCCAGAGCAGGAGAAGGAACGGGGGGGTTTTTAGTCAGTAAGAGTCTGACACTCTCTCTCGCCTTACCCTGGGCGGGAGAAGTCATTGGATGTTTTTCCCCTGACAAAAAAAAAAAGATATGCTAGTGTTAAATAAGTAGGTACACTAGCATATCTGCGGTCTACTTAAAATGTTATTTTGTAGAGTATATTAATTTCTGCAAAAACAGAAGTTAATTAGGTTTTTTTTCAGTTGCAAAATGGCGCCACTGTTGTACAAGAGTAACACAAGCCCTCCAGCGAACGCGGTGAGAATGCTGGCTGACATAATTGGTCTGGAGCTTGACATGAAGGATATAAACATAATTAAATTGGAAAATAAGTCGCCTGAACATTTAAAGGTATAATAAGATGCGATAGGTACAATATATTTTTGCTATTAGCAGCGGCCCGCCCCTGGTTCACGTGGGTGTCCAACTATCTCGCTAAGGACGTGAGCTATGTCCAAATTTTCCTCAGTACTTTTCTTGAATTCATTTGAACTTTCTCCCGAGGTTTTGTTAAGTTGTTACTTATTAACTTATTTTTTATTTCCCAGCGAAATCCTATGGGAACTATCCCAACATTGATCGATGGCGACTTCATCATCTCTGAAAGGTAATACATGCCTACAATACTAAATATTTCACGGAAATAAATTAGAGGCAAACATTTTTGAATAGTAACTATCGAGAGACATATTAAATTTATTGAAATAATTACTTGCTTACAAGAACTGAAAAAAGTTCTACTAGTTTCAGTTACAACCGGACTCTATTCATGACTCGAGTGCGCGTCGCAGCGACAGAAAATATGAGGCACATAATCATTTATACAAACGTATATACATATATAGATCTACATACTTATATATTTTTAGGTTATTTTTATGTACTTAAATGTTGAATAGTTGCACTTACAACAAAATTGCTTATAGCATTTATTAGGTACTGTAAAAGAACAGAAACTTCACCTGATGGTTAGCAATCTGCGCCAACTATGGACGCTGTGATTCCGGAGGAAAAATAATTTATCAGATGGTCCATATACAGCACAATGGATACCATCTCAAAAAAAAAAAAATTGAATAATTTAAAAAATACATTTTCCTTCTAGCCACGCCACCATGAAGTATCTGCTATCAGTATACAGCGGAGGTGAACTACGCGAGTCTCTGTACCCGAGCGACGTGCGCACGCGCGCCCTCGTCGACCAATGCATGTTCTTCAATGCTGGAGTATTCTTCTTGAAGCTCTTAGGGTGTATTGTAAGTACAAAAATGTTTGTAAACTTATCAAATACTTATTAATTACTGAAATCGTCTGTAGGCAAAGTGCAAAAAAAGTAAAAATCTAGAAAAGTTATTACGTACGTGGTTAGGGGCGGGGCTAGTCATACTCCTAATGTGGTTCACGCCAAGGCAGGAGTTGAAATATGGGCATTTGTAATCATAGGAGTCTGACAAACACCCACTCAAGTCGGGTGCTATGTCCAATCCAATCTATACCTACTTCTATACTAATATTATAAAGCTGAAGAGTTTGTTTGTTTGAACGCGCTTACCTCCGAAACTACTGGTTCAAATTGAACAATTCTTTTTTTGTTTGTTGGTCCATTTATCAAGGAAGGCTATAAAACATCACGCTAGCATCTGTAGAAGTAGAGCAGCGGGTGAAACCACGTGAGAATAGCTATTAATTAAGCACGTAAGTCTTAAATTTTGAACTAATACCTAACATTGCTTATACTTATCTATTTCTTTTCTTTTTGTAGTTACCAGCTGTGTTCGGAGACCTAGATGGTCCAACAGAGCAGCACAAATTAGAAATTGATGCGGCATATAGCGTGTTGGAAGCGTACTTGAAAGATCACAAGTACATTGCTGCGAACCACTTGACAATCGCGGATCTTAGCGTTGGTGCAACTGCCATATCCATACAAGTTGTCCATAAGCTGGATGCTGGGAAGTGAGTGTTCTCATTATTTTACATATACCTTTAGGTCACAGCCAACTCATTTATACAGCCATTTAATTAACGGCTTAGCTGTACGATTCTTATAAATGTTTATTTCAATGCGGTTCTAAACTAGGTTTTAAGTGCGAGAGAGCCATTCTTTGGCAAGAAATGGCCTACTTGACTAGGGATATCAGGGCCTCACAGAAAACTGCCGTAAAGTAATGCTTATCTACGTTGTTTCATTACCTCCCATTTTCAATACTCAAATTTCTTACATCAGAAATGCCTAATAACCTACTAGAAGCCGGCAATAGTTATCAATGTAGTAGTTTGTTAGTTTGCCGACCTATGCCACACTAAAACCCTACAACTAACGGCCAGAACGAGAAATTCAGGCATTCAATCAAACAGCTAATCGTTATATGAATGGCTAATTACCTAAGATAGTTGGCGGCGACATATCTATATTTTAGAACCACACTGAACATTTTTTCTAGATTATAGGAAGGTACTAAACTTATAAAAGTAAGTACCTAAGTAAGTATAATAAGTATAGCTATCTACCTACGTCATTGATTAATAATTTATCATCCGTGTTTCCTTTCTTAAGGTTTCCTCTTACGGCGGCGTGGATATCCAGATTAGAAGAACACCCATCGTTCAAAAAGATTTTACTACCAGGTGTGAAAATTCTTGATGAACTCGCCAATGCAGCCTGGCAGAAGAATAGGAAATAATTTTATACGATATTCAAATGAATTGTTTTTTTTAACTTTATTTGTTTTTAAGCTTGTATTATTTTATCTGTTTTATCTAAGTACGTAATGAAATAAAGTCTTTAGTTAACTATAAATGTACATCGTTTTTATTACCGTTTTTACTTATTATCGTTTTTATACCTATCCTCTATCTCTGATCTCTTGGTACTCGTGGTGGCCCGGAGATTACCTAAGCATGAGGGTGCGAGTTCGACACCTGGCAAGTACCAATATGACTTTACTTTCTATGATTATTAAGACACCACTGACATACGTTGAACGAAAACATCTTGAGGAAACCTGGACTTATGATTGCCATTTACATTTTTGAAATCGAAAATACTCCTTGAGCAGGCGTGGAGATTAATATGTTCAACTCAAAACTTCTCCGTGTGAGAATAGGTAATGCTCAGCTCAAATTTCTAATTATGAGAAGGGGCCTTTGATCAGCAGTGGGCACTCATAAGCTGATAATTTGACACAATCTCTAATATAAAATATTCAACCCCAGCTTTTGAAAATCTAATAGGTAGGTACTCAGGTAGGTACACGGTACGGCTTACGCTAAAAAAGGTGCATCAACTTCTTGTATCTACTGCTTCGTGTAACATGAATGAAAAGGCATTTCAAAAATAAAGATTCAAATAGACAACCGGCTTAGTTCTATTGGGTAAATAATTTTAATAGAAATTTTCCCACTCGTATGTAGGTACAAGCTTGAGCCCGCCGTACCGGGATTTTAAAAACAGCAGCGTTTAAAGCGATCAAACTCAACTAAAATACGTTAATCGATATTGTAGCTATCTGTCTATGAAAGAATTTTGGAAATGGAACCAGCAGTTTTAATGATTACCCCATACATTTATAAACTTTCAAATTTTACCTCTCTATAATATTAGTATAGATAAAAAAATATTGTTTCGAACGTAATTTAATGAAAATGCCATCTATGATTTAACTTATGAACTTCAATTGGGAACTGTCACCGCTAGATGTCACTATCTACCTCATTTCCTACAGTTAATTATTTTTTTATATTGTGTAATGATAATTTTTAACTAGTCACTTGTAAATTAATATACTTAGAAATAAGGTAAAGGTATTTCATAAAATATATATAATATAAGTCACCACTTGTTAAGGATGTTACTAGCGCCATCTCTTAAACACGGAGTGCATACTTATTCTTGATAAACATACTAAGCGCCATCTATTGTTGAAGAAGAAAACTTCTAAGTTATTTACACATTGACCTTGCTTTGCAACTTTCGAACTTAGAACGTTGGAACAACGACATTCGCTGGAATCGGAATTTGAATGGTATGGGCAGGCTCGGCTCGAGTCTCGACGGAACGGCAGAAACGTGTACGGCGAAGTGCGGTCGACTCGTCGATGCGCAGCTGTCCCGCAGCGCTTGTCAATTTTTAGTTTTTCCGGAACGCGTGTGTAAATAAACAAATTATAATTTTTCATTACAATATTATGAAGTGAAACTGAAGTTTGTTTAATTATCGTGTCGATTCAAAGTGGAGCGTTTTGAATGAATCTGTAACCGTTTCTCGCAATGACAACCGAGAGCACTCGGTTACCTTTTGAGAAACCGGAGGCATTAAAATGTTTCATGTGGTCTAATTGATGCTATTTTTTACATTAATAAGTGTATACGTTGATATAAGGACTATTGTGATTCGTTTAGTGACGCTTTCAGTTGTAACCGTTTCGATTTCGACTCGGTCGGTAGTCGTCTACACGTTTTAAAAATGAGTGTTTTAAGTGGTTTGAGTAAAGCTGACTTCAAAACTGCCAGTGATGGACTGCTGGAACTGCCCGAGGAGCGGCTCCGCAGCCTCATGCGCACAGAGCCCATCACCTCCGTCTACCACGTCGAACAGACACCCTTTGCAAGGTAAACAAACTTACTTTCGAACTTGTAAACTGCGTTACCTGACGACGGCCTACGAACAATAACTTTTTTTACATTACTCGTGAATGTAGCTAAGGACGCAAGCAAAGGAACTGCAAGCAAAAACCACGTTTTGTTTTTTTGCTTGCATACTTGGTCTTGATAGATTGGTCCCACACTCCTACCCACACACACAGCTGTCAAAGTTGTTAAAACTATTTACAAACTTTTTTGTGTTGTTAACTTAACAAGTTTTAATGAATTCCTACTAGGAATGAGATAAAGGACATTAGCTAGCTATTGGACTGTGTTTTAAGTCTCCAAAAAGTGTATGAAAGTGTTACAAAGTGATATATCATGCATATTATTGTTATCACAAAGTGGTTGGCAGTCTGCTATCTAAAACTTTATCGTAACTGCGTGTCATACAGCCAATACAATAGATATAACTTGGCAGAGTGGAAGATACCTGTGCCTAGTGCAATTTATATTGTTTTCAATGTGGTTACAAAATGGCAAAGCTGTACTGTTTATCAGCATATTCTTGATAATAATGAGTGATGAGAGTGAAGGAGCAAGATAACATTGATAACAAGTATTTTTCGCTTTAAAATACTTAAAATTTATTTTCAATGTAAATAAAGATATGTTACATGGTATTCAAACTTGCATTAAAATCTTATTTGCAAAAGTAATGATATTATCTTTTTTGAAACTATATTTCTAGAAGTTAGAAGAAATAAGAATTGTTTGAAGATGATAACAATTTTATTTCATTTTCAAGGTATCATCATGACATTGACAATAATTAAAATTGTGAATTGTTATCTAATTTACTGGGTTTTTCTGATTTAAATTTGTACAATATGAACAAGTAATGGCAATTAATAATGAAGTAGGTACTGACAATTATATTAATTAGTGTTCATTTAACCATCATAGCTCATCAGATAATATTATGCAATTTATTTATGTTTTGCTAGTTGAAAATAAAATAACTTAAATCAAATGGGAAAGTATTCATGGTTGTTGTGAGAAATAATCTTTAGTGAAATAGGTATGTATACCTACCTACAACATCTGCTGTTAAAAAAGTTTAATAAGTCATGAGGTCTGGCCAGCATCAATTTAATTGGCGATGTTTTTTTGAATAAAATTCGTAACTAATATTCAACTTCACTATCTACTTCAAAGTAAATAGCAATTCTGTACTCTATGAATTTAAAAAATATTAAAATTCTTGCATCTTGCATCATCTCACGTTGAGGATATTTTTAACCCAATCAAACATAGTGTAACTTTCTCATTTCCAAGTGATCACACCTCAACCTTGCTTCTCAAAACCATGACATCAGTCTCCTATTAAACCTCAAGTAGCCGCCCTGTCGCCTAACGTGACATAATTAGTGAATCAATCAGTCTGTCGAGAATATGCGCCATGTCGTGCATACGAATAGAATGTCGGCATTGTGGTCAAATGTCGAGGAACGCGGCCATTCTGACGTTCGCTGCAACTTGAATGTCCGTTTTCCCGCCTTTATTTGCCAGCTGCCGTCTTCCTGTGCGGTTGGCGTTGACGTAGTTAATAGTTATGTAGGTATGCATAATCCGTTTTGCTGAATAAACATAGGCAGGGAGTTTGTTTTAGGAAGTTAATTAACAAGCTTTGAGAGTCTACTAGATTTTCAATTCTTTCCAACCATCGCCAGCATCATATCAGCCCTAAGCCCTGGATCCACACCCAATTTTCAAAAATATCATCGTGCTGGCATCAATTTAAAGCCGCCTCCTCGCAATCCGATCCAATTCTGTTTGTTAATATGGTTATTCTAGTATTTAAAAAAACGTACCTACTTATTAAAAAATAAAACTGTTTTGCCTTCTTTGAAGTTCTTTGCCCACAATATTATACTATTTTAGAGGTGGTCGATTCTCTTACAGATTTTACAGAATGGAATTGAAAAACGCGTGCAAAAATCAAATTGTCACGGTCTTGAATTATACTTACTACGATACTTGATTGCATGTACCGAAAATTATATTAGGTAGGTATATTGATTGCATTCTATGTGCTGAATTACATTGCACGAATGTTTTGTACGACTACTGTAAAGAATTTTGAGTAAGGCGCCAAGTTTAACACGCTAGCGTGGATTAAGATTACGAAAAAACAACCGATTATCTTATCTTGGTGTCAGGTAGGAGGTGTACTACATGAAACATGATTTGTACTAAAGAGTTTTTATTTCCATTTCCCATACCTAGTGAAAAGGTAGAAAATCAACTTTACGAAAGAAAGATGAGAACTTTTTACATACCTACTCATATCTGTAACATAGTAATTTTACATTTATACATATTATGTACAAAGGTAGGTGACTATTCCTCTGGTTACTTTGATTTGCGTTGCGGTAGATCTCTCTACTAATATAATAAATACGTCGATAGTCGTCACACTAGTAGCTTTAATTGACCTAATAATTAATAATAATATCCAATAATGTATTTATACATATTTAAATTAATGTATTGTTAGTCGCAACGAGTTGATTACCCGACCCAGTTTGATGAATTAATTAATTTAAAAGGCGGGGACTTGATACTCGATAATATAAAACAGGTGACATATTAATCAATATTGCATAAAACAATGAAATTAATATTAATAATAACACAAGTCAATCTGAATATTCTTAATTGGTGTTTTACTTCGGTAATTGTTCCAAGTATCGTTAGCACTTCAATCAGCTGATTGCGTTTATCGAATCTGATGTCATTAGCACTTGGACAGAAAGTGGATAGATAGGTATTTATATAAGGAAACAATAGTCTTAAGTAGTGTTTAAAACGACAGTAACTACGTAGTTGCTTATTAGTTTCTTCGTACTACTAGCTGCCCCCGCGCGGTTTCAACCACTTCTGGGATCCTATTCCTCTTTTTTTTTTGTTTATTGCCCAGGGTGGGGCTGGCCTCTTACCGATTAAAACCCACCCGTTCCTTCTCCTGCTCTAGGCCGAGACCGCGGTGTATCATTGCGCCTATCCTGCAACCCCGCCTGCTGTAAACCTGTCCGTCTAAGCGTGATGTTTTATAGTTTATGTAGCGTTCCAAGATAAATGGGCTATCCAAAAATTAATTATATATATATAATATAAAACTGTAGTTTCAGAGATTAAAGAAACTATTGCCTAATTAAAGAAACAGAAACTCTTAGATGTGATGAGTAAATATTTAATAAAACTCCAGATTATGATGAAAATAGGTTTAATCGACATATAAGTTGTTAAGTAATAATATTAATTTCGGCGCCATTTACTTAATTTAATTATCATAACTAGGTGTTAAGCAAATTAGCTAAACGAACAGTCGATTCTCAATTTTCCTGAATATCAGTACTTACTTACCTACATTAGTAAAAGACGAGATCGTACTGTATTCAAATAATATTAAAGTGCATTATTAATAAGCATTTGAGTTACTAGTTATATCTTTTACAAGGTCTGTTGCGCGTCAGCGTAATAATACATTATGTATCTACATGTATAATTATGATGTGTGTGTGACGTGGAACATTATCATGCAGTTGTTTCGAGTTGCAGACGTTTTTGATTACGATATATATATATAAGTATATACCGCATACGTAAATAGTGCTAGACTGAATATGTCACGTATACAAATTGATATCATTGTGTTGTATTTTTTTATAATATTCAACCTTTTTGTTTATGTTGAAAGAAAATATTATTAAGAAAAAACAAAACCGTGCACTTCACATTCTTATTCTGAAATTTGAAATCTAAAAGTATCGGCATCAATAAATTTTCTCTGTTATTAAGGGCTGATTTTTCAATAGTCAAATAAGTGTTATCTGAGGAATAAAATTCTTGCTGTCACTGTCTTATACAAACATTCTGACGCGACATCATCATTATTATTCCCCAGGTAACTTTTATGTAAACATTGAAGCACAGCCTTAAGAAGAAAAAAATGTACCAATGAAATTTTATTTCAGTCACACCATCATATAGCTGGCACGAAAACGGTTGCCGTACCACTCTATTATTATTCTATCAATTAATTTTGCATCATTCTAAATTTAAATTTTCAATTCTTTAGTTCGTGAAGATGCAGTCACGGGGAGTACCGTTCTTTACTACCGGTCCTACTTAGCCGCCGACCAGTTAATTGTAGTTTTTGTCAAATGATTAGTAGTCTCCCCTCTTTTCTACCGACTTGTTTTACTGGTTGGCAAAACGATACCATTTCTCCTCATCATGTGTCGTGTTGCAGTGTGACAGATTTTGTTATAATCATTTAGGTATTCGCAGATTCTGTTTAACCACGTTGTTATTACATGCGAGTCCGGTTCTATGATTAATCTAGGTAGGTTAGGTACATAACATACATTACATTACATACTTTTTAAATACAATGATCGACGTAGGTTTACTAATAAACAAAAATCTGATCTGTATCTGACTCTTATTTCAAACTTCAAACGTACCTACATCAAATACAAAGTAGGTATGCATAAAATATTCCCTGGAATGCTCCGTGCTTATTAGAAACCCATATGAAATTACCTAGTACGAAGAATTGATTTTAATTACCATTCACAAAGTCATCGTTTAGTGTTGCTCATTAGGTTCACGTATTTACTTTGTATGTTTCCGTTGCAAACAGACTACTGAACTACTACGCCAATAAAGGAGTGGTCATCATACGTGTCCGCAAATGGATATTTGTGGCAACAAACTTGGGCTAGAGTTTAAACCAGTCTGAGGGCGCTTGGTAAATCCAATATTGCATATTACAATTTACATTATATATGTGTAGTTACACCATTCACAATTAATGTCTTTAAACAATAACAGGTTTATGAAAAGTTTTAAGTGTAAATCTTTTACTAACCTAACCTAACTGTCATCCAGATCTAGATCATCGCAAATTTTGATAGTTGTAGAATATAAAATTTCTGGTGCATAGGATCAATAATCGTATTAATAACCTCCTTATTGTCGCCTTGGAGAAAAAAACTTGTTTCAAGTAAAAGCATGGAGTAATAGCCAAACTTGATATGCAAGTTCGGTCCAACATTTCCGTCATTTGAGTGGCTGTTAAAAGTAAGGGAAGATCATTTCTTCGATTAGATGGTGTTATTTATTTCGTATTTGTCACAAAAGTCAACCATCGAAAATAGCCCCCGGTCACTCGGTTACGGTTAGTTTAAGTGAAATTTAACATTTCAACAAGGTATAGCCAACTGGCGTTTGAGTAGGTAAATGAAAGGAATCATTTAGCGCCCGCCAGCGGTTATTGGCAATTTCTCCGCGCGACGTCGCCCGGGGCGCCTCGTTTCCCGGGAGCCCGGCGCGACTCGACGCGATAGCAGTTTTTGCTCGTCCGGCGACGCCGGCGCTGGCGAGATGTAATCGTGGACTTTCTACAGCTGAGCGGTTGGTCGTCGAAGCGGTTTCACTTTCATGCGGCGGCGGAATGCGGCCGGACCTCCGACCCGCGGCCGCCGTGTCACCGCCTCGCTGCCTCCCTCCACACGCGCCCTTACAAACTTATGCACATGCACGCCGACGATTATGCCCAACACGCTTTGCATATCAACGACGCCTCCGAGTCAATTGGATTACACAGTTGGATTATTGAATAAGCTTCTTCATGCGGTGACTATAACGGTTTTCTCGCATTCTGTCAACGGTTGATTTGCGAAGCAATTCCAATTTCATCATTTGGTATTAGTAATCCCGAATGATTCAAATTCACATAACATTCTTAATTCTTACAAATACTTGATAGATAATATAATCGGTCGCGGGTTAGTTAATTTCGATTCTACGAGCGGCCCGAATACCTGAGTTGGATGCCGGCGCCGACTGGCAAGCTATCCGTGCTAATATCTTATTCGTGTCATTAGTGCGAAATGCCAGCCGTTTGGCACCCGCGGCGCCGGCCTCAGCGTTCCCTCGCGGCCGATGCACTGCCCTGGGCCGCACCAGCTAAATTCGGGTCCGTTGCATCACGCATCACTTTCGGTTTCGTTTGTCACGAGGCTATTTTAGATCGAGTGTCGATTATTAGAACGCTGTTTTTAGATGCAGCCCGTTAGACATTCGGAATGCTCTGGCACCATGACTAACCGACCCAACGGTCAGGAAACTTAATTAGTAATTTGATTAAAGCGTAACCTTACATTTCTTATTAAATAAGACAACAGTAGTTCGAAGAGGCTGCAATAAGGCTAAAGCTGCATATGTGTCAAAGTCGGCTCCTAGTATGCAGTGAGTCTCGACGGTGTGCTGCAGTTATCTCGAGTTTGCGGAACGAAACCCGATCCGTATGCAGCGGCACGCGAGCGAGGCCAGCGCGTCCGCTGCACATATACCATACTTTATCTCCGTTACTACCGTTGGGCTAAACAAAACTATTTTTCTTCACCCGTGATCCAATTTTCTATATCTCCCTTCGCGAATAAAGCTATTAGCTCTAGTGCAACTGATTTTGGTTGGTTAATATGATTGGGTTTGGAGGTATGGTGAATAACGACGGCGTCCTGATGGCTGTGGTCGATGGACTTGCCCTTCATTCGCAAGGTCGTCGGGCAAATGGTCACCTGCGACGGGATCGCAGGCAGGCGTGCGCCGACCGCCGGTTGTGCAATCAGTGCGACACCTCGGCGCACGTGGGCGATCGCCTGCCGCTCGAGAACAATCGAGCCTCTCATTCAACAACACAGCCGCTGGAATGCGGGCTTTTGATATCGTTACAAAACCAACAGTAACGGTGGGCCAATGTCAACATGGCTCCTGTATTGACTTTTAGATTGTCTGTATGGTAATGCGATCGCCGCAGCGCTGTGTCTGCATCGCGTATTAACCGCGCATTCGTGTAGGCGACTAGATTTTCCGACACGGGTTGGGCCACTTGGCATAATGTGGCCACGCAGCGCCGCTACGTAGCGAAAGTCTGGCCGACCTTCGGCGTCTAGATATGGGCAGTAATACTCAGATCTCGGTATACCTAATTACGAAGCAGCTAAGAAACTGCTCGTTTGACAAGTTGTATGAATTAAACGTTGACTGATTATGATACGCTACTCGTTCTTCCTTATCGCGTTTAGTTATGTGATCTGCACTCGATGCAATAATAACAACTGTCTTATTACCTCATCAGGAGAGGCGGTTATTGTACGTTTATATTTGAGTTGGCGAGAAGATCAAGTCTCGAAATAGTTGGATGGATCGCATACCTAGATTATTCCTGCGCTGCGATATGATCGGCTCGACGACTACGGCGCTGTCCTGTCTATCGTTGACAATATTTTTAGTATTAACAATCTTGGATATGCACTATGCACCCGCAAGATAGCATCGTTTATCAGTTGTGTCATGGGCTAACTTTAGAACACGACATCGTAGAAAATACGGAGTACTCACGCTTTGTTTTTCTTAAAATTTGTGTAGTTTACGTTGCTGACCGAAGTAAATAAACAGGCTTGGTTTTAGCTTAGCGTAAAAATTTATTTATTGAATTTCAAAGAAAAATAACATAATAAAGTTTACATTTAGTGTAGGCGTTTTGCGTTAGTGTTAGTCTACATAGATGCCCTAGTGAGCTCAATTGCTTTTCGACTGAATCAGTCGTGTTGGCATGAATCACAAAGTTATGAGATTTTATGATGTAACATGTGGACTTTCCCAAAACAAGAAATTCGGACAAGTCTTATACATATGTGTCACATTAATAATATTGTAATAATTATACATGTAAAACGTATGGAATTAAAGGTTACCTGTGTTTTTAAACATGATAATAAATTATAATCGAATTTTATCAAGTAGTAATGTCATCGACACCAAGTGATGTGAGTATAAACATGTGCAATCGCGATTTTTCTTCTTAAACATAGATACTCATTTATATAATTCGCTTATACATATTTTTCGTGCGTCATACTCTTCACTCTACCTGTAAATACAATTTAGCTTATCATTGTTATCTGTATGGATGGATGCAAATGCGTTAAGCTGGTAATAGCTATCTATCCGTGCAAAGGTCTCGGACTAATATTGACGTGTCTCGTTTATACTGTTTGCACGCTTGATGGATGCGGTTCGCCGTTGAGACTATTTACACTCCCTTCCATAACCTTGGACCGAGTTCAGTGACTCGTCCGTCATACGCATCTCGCTTGTCTTTAATTGTACACTTCCGGAGTATTTCCATCCAGTTGGGAGCTACGGTATCGGGCGTCACGTTCACGTGCATCCTGCCTAAGAATGCGTTCTATTTATACGACGTGATTTGTGGAGCGTGCTGCTCACTAAACTTGTGTAAGTAACGCCGACTTTAATGCTGAAATGCATTACATTTTATCGCTAGTTTACTAATTTCGGCCTAATATTCACGTCAGCGGTGATGGATCCTACGATTCGGCTCGTATTGGCTGTAAACGGCGGTGTTATTCCTGCATTCCTCGGTGAGGATTTATAGCGCGTCGACCGGCGCTGCGTAAATATAATTAGAGAGGCTATTTATCAGCACGGCGGAAGGGCGCTCGCTATCGCCGCCGTAAATCTCCTGTAGCCTCTGACGGCTCAATCCGGCGAAGAAATGGAATGTCATGCTAATCGCGAAGGAGAGTACCGCGCGAATTTGTCTGTCGGCCGCTCGGATCTATCCCCCATACGTTACAATCAGCCAGGATTACGACCACTGCACTCTGCTTATTTGCGCAGACGAATAGACGAGAACCGCGCCGATGCGGTATTCAGGGTTTAGATTAATTTATGCTTATTCTAAGTTAAACCCAGACAGCATTCCTTTCTGAATGTTTGGCTTGAACTGTGCGTATTTTGTTTTGGTTATATCGTGTGTGAAGTAAGCAGCTAGTCCAAGGACAGCGTAGTCGGCGGCGCGTGCGCAGCGGGGCGGGTAATTGGAGCCGTCGCCGACCGCGCCAGCTCCACAAACCGAACACACTTAGTTCTTTTACTTGCATGTGATCAGAAACTTATCAACAAGTTACTTAAAATATGCTAGATTGATTTATGCGATTAAAATGCTACACGGTTACGTGAACTTATTAATTTCATAACGTTTGAATAATAAAATAATAATTAAGTAACGTTGTTAAGGTCACTCATTAATTTTAAGTTTGTTTATGTTTGAAGGATTTATTTGATTATTTTACATAATCAGTATTAGGTATTTATAATTTATTAACAAATGTCGGTGTCACTTTTGTACTTATAACTATTACAATTAGCTGAGCTGTACTATTAAGGGTCTTGATGTTTTAGATTTTTATGGTCATGTGTCCTATTGCTAATTCACACTATTCTAATAATAACGAGACGAAAGGAGTGGCACTGTAAATAATGATAATATTGTTTATCGGAAAATTTGGATTAACTTGTTGATATGAGCATCGTTGCCTAGGTAGATACGTTTGATGCTGGTTGTGCAACTTAGTGAGTGCTTGCGGGGTGGTCAGGCGAGCACAGGTCTGAGAAGGCGCAGCTGTGCATTAGCATAACCGTGCAGACTCGTGCACCGCCCCGCGGCACAACCACGATACCCTCATGTGGCACAAGTGGGGAAATAATCGAGGGGATAGTTTAAAATATAGTTACTTACCGAAATAGTTTAACCTTTTAATTAAATGCAGCAGAAGAAGACGATTAGCTTATGGACTTAACAAAATATTTCTGTAAAGTAAAAAATACCCAAATATACTTCTTCCAAAATATTTGAAGAAGCCGTTTTCTGAAACCAAACTCAAACGCTTAGAGCATTTATTCGAAAAACAAATTAGAATGTCTTCCCAAATTACCATTAACGTCCTGCAAATATTTAACGTAGCCTTTAAAAATATATGAATACGAGGAAATGCAAAACTAAAAATTTAAGAGCCACCTCAACCGCCTCCGTCGCCGGCGCCGGTCAATTCACGTATTCTCAATGTCACCTTGTACCATTTTATGATCCGAGTTCTCTGTTGAAGCGTTATTGTCCTCTCTTATTGCACCAAGCGCATTAAAAATATGTTCTTTGTCATACAATACGCGAATACACCCATGAATATTTAATGGAACACTCGCCGCAGCCCTGACCTTTATTTTGGCCTTTCTCTACGCCCATTGTTCTTGGCTAGCCCTACGCTTTATACGACTTATCTAATGTTACTTTACTTTGTTTCAGGTGAGTGAATGATTATCATTATTAACCACAACAGTAAGTTTCATCTATTTTTCACTGAGTCAATATTTAATAATCTTTGTATGTTAGTGTCGGAACAAAAAATATTGATTTATAAACAGCGGCCACGGTGAAGTCATCAATGACCGATCTAAACGATTATCATCCTTGCGACCGCTGACTCATCCGTGTGCCACAAACCTGTGGGAGATACAAAATATTCAGTTTTAATTAACCTTTTCTGATGACTAATAAAACGAGTATTCTCTCTGCTGCTTCAAGACTGACTGCCGGTTGGGCGAAAATTCAGCTAACGCGTTATTTATACAGAGATATGTACAGAAATATTTGTCTATAAGATAGAAGAGTTCAATGTTCTAGGAGTGATGAACTGGAAACAACCTCGTGGTACGTTGTAAACGTATCTAAAAAGGCTATAAGGAGGAGTGAGGGCCGTAGCCGTCGTCGTCGGCTGCATGTCGTCACTCAACTCTCCGTTTTTTGTCGCCAAAGACGAGTTATCTTCTTCCTAGTCGGTTGCTTTGATTAACGACCGTAACCCGATCTCTTGTGTGTTTTTGGTCTCTCCGTATGTTCGGTCTTCTAGATTACAATTAATTTTTACTTGGATATAAACCCACCCACATCTGCGACTTATATGGTCCGTAATAATAACAAAAATTTAATCGTGTTTAATCATTCTATAACACGGCAAAAAACTTGCATATTAAATTTAGCTTAAAATAATAACTGTTAATCCTTTTGGAGCTGAAGTTTACCTTTTAATATATGTTATTTGATCTGTAACTGTGTCAGCTGATGGATCTGTAATGATTAAATCACCGGAAATTACATTCAATTATGTAGTTGCACGGTTCGGTGACCGATTATTGTGGTAAACATAGATGATGACCGCTACGTGATGCCTCCTTGATCACAATCTCTATGTTCAGAAACTAGCATCGTCCTTGCCGATAAATTAGTGTTCAGATATTGTACGGATAACGCTGTCGACGCAGAATCCTGCCGATGTGCGAGATCAAACAAACCGTGAAACAGTGTGCGCGGATGCCAACACGCCAAATGTGCGACTTCAATGTTCTCTCACAATAAAAGACCCTCTCGTTTTACCTTGCACCGGCTTGCATTTACTTGTCTCTTTCTAACGTTAGTTTGTTCGATTTTGGGCGAGTGTGGACGATGACAAAGCGTCACTTTCTACGGGGCGCACGCGCAGTGGCAAATGAAGTGTGTCGCGTACGCAGACAGCTGCGCGATAGACTCTGCTCTAATGTGCACCGGAAACCATCAATTTAGATAGTGCGCCGGATTGCCGCCGCGAAGCTTCTGCCGTAGGATGCAACTGTTATACGGAGGAAACTGTGATTTATGACCTTCATTGTTTTGTGGCCGAGATCTCTTTACTATGCATCCTCATTTCATTAAACGATGCCTGATATCCCTAACGACGACGTAGAACATCAAATTTGTAAATCTATAATTCGATATTTACTTAATATAGTAATGAAGTTCAATATTCTGATTTAGGACTTAACAACATTACCGGTAATCGAATGAAGG